GAAAACCTCAGGGTGGAAGTGGATCCAGCCGAATCCAACCTCTGTTAGTGTAGCTTCCAGCTGTACTTAGATCCACCACTGTGCAGTCAAGAGTGTGCAACAATCTTGCAAGAATGGACTGGTTCATACTGCAGTATTATTCTTTGCAATGGCAAACTTGTTTTTGAATTTGGATTGAACTGCAGGAAGCACGGTCAGCTTCGCACAGAAGTGAAGGCATGCTGCAGAAATGACAGAAGCCCATTGACAAGACAAGAGGCAACTGTCGGACATTCATTGTCGCAGCAAACACCACAGCACCAAATTCTTTCACCTGCCTTGGAGGTTGAAACTATAAACTGTATTAAACTGCAGGAATCGGTTTGCTTCACCAAACATCTTCAACAATCTTCACATTGCATGCTCAACCAACCAATACAATTGTCGACCAAGTCTCGAGTAGATAAACCATTGGCTGGAAACCTGTCAAAATCGCAGGGCGTCAACATGGACTTGAAAGGATGGATTTTGAGCGGTTGCCTCGACTACAGTCAAAGATCCTTCAACTTGACTATACTCTGGATTCAAAGCATGAGTGGCATTTCTCCAAAGTTAAATGTGCGCGATCATAAACCAAGTTGGAACTACGAAAAAGTTTGCGCCGACCCTGACTCGACACATTCTCATCATTCTCTCAAATGGCAACGTGCTTGTGGTATCTTCTCAGTTTGTCCAAGCCGGTCCTGCGCAACACTCAGCGTCACAGCATCGCCAAGCAAAGGCGGATGTCTCTTACAGAAGCTGAGCGCCGCCATCAGGGAACCAGTGCCTGGAGCCGGGTTCCATCGGTTGTGCCACCTCTGTGCTTTTTGACACTTTCTGACCACTTGTCTGACCACTTATATGCATTATTTATATATATAATATATATATATATCAACTGAATTCAACTGATAGATCTGATAGCTGGAACTCTTCACTTTCCTCAAGCATAGCGTACGTATCGTACATTCATACTGCAAAAGTCGCAACGGAGATTGCAGGTCAGAGCTTGCTTTGCCTCTCGGGATGATCTGAACGGACTTTTTTTGAGGCCGGCACTCAACAGGGTGATCATGGACACGATGGCTGAGCACAGATTAACCCACAAGATCTGGTTGTACCTGTGGCGGAGAACGTGTCCAGCAGCAAACATCGCAACTAATTCTACAGTCTGGAACAAAGCGTTGAGCAATTGGTCCACAGAGGAAATATTAGAAAGGTGTTCTTGGATTTATCATGAATAATATTGAAACATATTGAATATGTGACATTAGACATAATTATGTGACTGATTCTTTGTAACTTGCAAATCGTGCCAGATCGTCAATGTCTAAGAGTGGATCGAGTCGATCGAGTCGAGATAGTCGAGAAAGTCGAGTAATTCATCGAGGGACTTGGAAAGGCCATACTCCTTGAAGAGTTTCTCTTGCATCGGTGAGGTGATGCCATCTAAGGCTAGGAAGAGCAGAAGGAGCAGCAAACCTGGCGACAGGTCAGGTCCCACGGTGTAACCCAATGTGATCTGCTGCTCCATTAGCACAGGACACTGAGAACTACTATGCGCCAAAAAAATGTAAGGTACCTTAAGATGTTTAAGGTCGTGTGTTTCTCTATAGTGTCTAGCGGTCAAACATCTGAATCTATCAGCATCTGTCCTGCATGATCTTCATGTCTAACTGGAACTTGTGCAATTTTGTGCGTTTGTTTCATGTTGAGATGCGTTGATGTGTGTGTGTGTGTGGGTCACATGCCGCAACAGGCTGGAATAGACAGGTCCAAAGATGCAGAACAGCCCATGCAAAGTGTTGGCTCGGGGATCCCTTTCTAATGGTCAAGATCTGTTTGTCAATGGTCTTTCCGGAAGTGCCATAGCTCAGAGGGGGGTTGTGCATAATTTTGGCTCATAGCGAATGAGTATAGGATGTATGTATTGTATCATATCATATAACGTATAAAAACAAAGCTAGATAGTGTGCATTCTCTGCTCTTTGCGGAAACACTTCCAGAGTTCCCGAGATTGTGGGCTTGGCTGAAATTAGAGCTTCAAAGAGGCCTTGGCTTTTCAATAGGTTCTCTGCTGAGCCATTTTAAACTGAATCTATCTCAATCTGCTGAAACAGGTCATTCTTTTGTGTCCTATGCAATTCATTGCAATTCCAGTCCGCTGACTCCGCTAACCCAATTGATGGGCCTTTAAAGCTATTGCTGGTCGTGTCATCGTTCTCCCCAGACGGACTTGCAATTGGTCCAGTGAGGAGGAACATGGTAACACCCCATGTCACGCCCAAGGCCACTGCCCACTCCTGCAGAAATGTTAGGAGCGAAGCTTCCACTACAGAACCATACAGATTCAGAATCAGAATTGGATTCATACAGATTCATATTGATTCTGTCTTGCTGGAAATCCTTCAAACCTCAATGAGTGTCGTTCTGGTCTTTTGTTCCTTTAACTTGCGTGAGCACTCACAAGAGTTTCGGTCAAATTCCCAAACGAGGAGCTGTCCTTTCTAGGTTCATCTAGCAGCAGAGAAAATGGGCTGACAATTTTTGACATGGCTCCTTGAGCTTGTATTGCTTGGACCTGAGCGAATGAAGCTGCAGTCACGACACCCTCACACGCCACTGATGAACGCCGTGGATGACACAATGTGCCTGCCTACTCTCTTGAAATACAGCAGATCAATGCTGACAACGCTGAAACACCCCAAACTGTTCTCATGTTGGTTCAATCTCCAAAGGTCACAGGACGCTCTGTGTCACTTTTGTGAGTATAAAGCAGACATTTCCAGCCAATTTCTAGCCCACTGGTGGCTAATGTCCATGTTTTTTTTTGCTATGTCAAGTTCAATCTCATGGATTGGAGGTAAAGCTCGACAGTTGCTGTCTTGTTCCATCTTGTTCCTACATTGAAAGTGGCACAGAAAATGACCAAGGGGTCCTTTTGATGGTGCTTGCTTGTTTGAAAAGCTGACAAATTTTCCCATAATGGAGCCGAGTAGTCCAAGGAACGAAATCACGATGCCCCACAGCATGACCGGCATCATCTTAAAGCTCTTGCCCAGCATCTGCACAGGAAACGATACCTGAGTCAAAAGGTATCAAAAGAAGAGAAGGCTACACAGGGTGCCAGCTGCCCAGTCGAACACTCGAAACGCCGCTGTCGTGCGACTTGTGGACATGGACAGCGCTTGCATCGAAGTCACATATTTCAATGCCTCATATTGGCAAGTGGTTGCAAGGACGTTTGATAAAGACCTCAGAGAGACCCGCACGGAGGGCGAGGAGTCACTGGCGACTGAGTAGTCACTGGCAGTTCAGGGGAGAGGAAAAGACCTTGAAGTGTGAGGAGTTCAACCCACGGCCGGAAAAATTGGTGGCTGGTATGTTTCTAAGTCAGCGCACGAACCTACCACAGACTCACCCACCTTTGCAACACTTCGCAAGAATTTACTCTCCCCACAATACGCACAGAAACTTCTTGCTGCCAGAGTACACTACCATGTATCGCCATACAGGCGCCTTCAGTTTCCAGTCCTCACCCTTGACATTGACCATGATCAGGCCGAACCTGAGAAGGTGAGGACGCCGAGGTTTCCCTACTTGCACTAGATGAATTCACTGTCACACAACACCGACATCCAACATCTGTCCACTTCATGAACTTGATGATTGCATGGCACCTCACGCTAAGTATTCCAAGCGATGTCCAAGGCACCAAATCGCGAAGAATCGGTTGCAAAAGACCAAGAACCTCAAGAACAAAATGGAAATAGCAGAATCTCTAAGCATCTCAACATCTGCAAAAATCACAGAAAATGTTTTAGAGTGGGAAATGGAAAAAACATGAACCGTCTTATCTCCTGAGAAGGCTGAGCCCGGAGTCAAGGACCCTGGACCAACCAATTGATTCACATTTCACCCCAGTGTAGACAGTGGAAAAGAAAAAAAGAGAATGATCGCCTTCCACAGTTTGTCACAGCGACTGCTCTAGCTGCTATAGCTGTGACCTTTCACATTCCCCAGCCTTCGCCCCTTTGTGCAGGTCAGCAACACAGAATCTGGGAACATTTCACCGTCGTATGGCTGAGACATGATTCTTTCCTGTAGCAAGCCATAGACCCATAAAGCGCCGATGATTCCAGCGGCATAGACCTTGGGTACTCAGATGTAATCAAAATTAATCAAATGTAATTGGCTCTTCCACAGTTGGCTCCAACTTCAGGTGGCATATACAGCCTTTAAACATCTTTAAACATGTTCAAGTTCATCCAAGCATGTCCAAACGAATCTAAACCTTCCAGCACCCTGGCTGTGCATCTTGTCAGATCAACAGTCAGACCGTGCTTCATCCTGGTTTCAATCTATTCCTTGGAACGGAGTAAATAAGCGAAATAGGGTGCATGGAAAGATACTAAAAATCGGACAGAAAATGACAGAAGTGCTCTTGGACGTGACGGTGAATCAATGCATTCGATAGCGTGGTATGTTAAATGCCGTAGGGTTGCAGTGCCCCACACTATGGTGTAGGTGGCATCCGGATTATCCTCACTAGCCATCAGCGTCTCCACATATAACCTTGCGTCGGATATGTTCTCATCATCTCTCCGAAAATTCTCAAATTGCAATTCAGCTCATACATTCTCGAGTACACTTTCCATCTCAAGTGCTGAGCCTTGCACAACTTCGGTTTGCGAATGGAAGGGACGGGGTCTTCCCTACTTTGAAAATTTCAAACGACGGCGGACCATTCGTGCGTCAATCAATACACCAAGCGATGACATGTGACCCAGATTGGCCCAGTACAATTCAATATCTCTGGTCCTCATTGACGGTTTCAGCTTATTTGGCGAACTTGGATCAGCAAGAGCATCATTGAAGGATGTAAACCAGGGTTTTTTTCTAAAACATGACTATTGCATCCCCTGTGTACTACTCTGTGATTGAACATGCCTCACATGGTTTCACTTAGTTTCACAGTCCTGCTCCCTCTGGATCAGATCTGCCAACTTGTCTTGCTTTTCTTGCTCATCGTCGGAAGCAAGTGGTAGAGCCTGTAGCCAACAGCTCGCAGTGCCCTGCGGTGTCTGTTTGGTTGTGGACCTTCCCTTTCCTCAATTGAATGTTTTTGTGTGTGCCTTTCTTCCTCTGTGGTTTATTTATGTTTGTTTGTGCTGTGCCCACTAAAAACTTAAATCCAATTTATATCAATTCATAGCTATGTGGCCTTAGCCTCTTAGCATTCTCGGGATGTCTGTCAAAGGGGGTTCACAGCAAACGGAAGAGTCTTGTTGCTCCAAACGGGTTTTCCTTCATTTTCTTGATGAATGCCTTTTTTGGCTACAGGTTCTCAAATAAGTTCCAACTTGAGGCCCAGGGGTAAGTGACGAAAGCTAGTTTGGCAGGGAACTTGGCATGAAAACACCCAGTATACTCACAAATTCATCTGTATTTAAAGATATTATGTCCAAAACAAGGTTTTCCATGTCTTGGTATAGAATGAACCGGGACATATTGAAGGGGGATCAATGACACATATGAAGAGAACACGAATATATATATGTATGTATGTATGTATGTATGTATATTTAAATATATATGTATATATATGTATATATATATATATATGTATAAATATATATATATATAAGTATAAATACGTTTTTTATTTACACCAATATATGTATATATATATATAATGAGGAAACTCCCACTCAGTACCGCGGCAGTCACTAAACACAAAGAAGATTCAAGGGTCCACCTTCAGCATCGGAGTGGGCCTTTCAAGGCTTAGAAGTTGCAACAGAAGAAGATGTTGGAAGCGCGGCTAGGTAGGATGTCATGAGGGAAGCATGCCGCTGCAATTGCTCCGGATCTGTGGAAACTCATCTGTATTATGAAATATGATTTCCAAGACAAGTTTGCCATTGTGGAAACTTATTGGAAACTGCACGTGGAGGTTCCAAATGAAAATGAGGCTACGTTTTAGGGCTCGCCATGAACATGCCGATAGGGAGCGACGCTGCACCAGCGACTTGAAGCATGCGCTAGTGATTATTGACGATGCCAATGCGGATGCTCCCGATTTTGCTGCCGGAGGTGACATGCCGACGGCGTCCCTGGATGGCACAAGGATCACTTAGAACCACAAGATTGGGATCACTTAGAACCACCGGATCACTTAGAACCAAAAAGCATCACTTAGAACCACCAAATTAGGATCACCAGAACCTCGAGTCCAGATGTTGATGGTTGAGGATGCTATAACCAGCATGGTGGAATGAAACCTTTAGGGTAACACTTGGGGACACGGGGCTGGGACATGGGGTGGATTTAGGGCACAAGTGGGGACACGGGGCTGGGGCGTGGGGTGGGTTTAGGGGGCCTGGTGGAATGAGACCTTCAGGTCTCACTTGGGGACACGGGGCTGGGACACGGGGTGGGTTCAGGGGACAAGTGGGGACACGGGGCTGGGACATGGGGTGGGTTTAGCATGGTGGAATGGGTAACACTTGGGGACACGATGGGGTGGGTTTGGGGGGTGGGTTTAGGGGACCAGCCTGGTGGAATGAGGCCTTTAAGGTAACACTTGGGGACACGGGGCTGGGACATGGGGGGGGTTTAGGGGCCGTGGGGTGGGTTTACGGGACAAGTGGGGGCAAGGGGGTGGGACGTGGGCGGACGTGGGCGGGCTTAGCGGACCAGCATGGTGGAACGAGACCCCCAGGGCAACACTGGGGGGCACGGGGCTGGGACATGTGGGAGGGCTTACGGGACAAGCGGGGACACTGGGCTGGGGTGGGTTAGGGGACAAGTCGGGACACGGGGCTGGGACATGGGGTGGGTTTGGGGGACCAGTTTAAGGTAACACTTGGGGACACGGGGCTGGGACATGGGGTGGGTTTAAGGGAACCAGCATGGTGGAATGAGACCCGAAGGGTAGGGGACCGGCATGGTGGAATGAGACCTTTAGGGTAACATTTGGGGACACGGGGCTGCGACACGGGGAGGGTTTAGGGGACCAGCATGGTGGATTACATTAGAGCACCAGGGAATGAGACCTTTAGTCGTACACCATTCTGGACCTTTTTAGTCTTAGGCAACTCATCCATCTATGCGGATGATGATGATGATGATGATGGTGGTGAAGCAGAAGATGAAGATGAAGATGATGATGATGATGATGATGATGTTGATGTTGATGATGAAGATGATAATGATGATGATGGTGATGGCGATCCTGATGATGAGGATGATGATTATTATTCTGGTGATGATGATGTAGATGGTGAAGAAGGAAAGACGTGAAAACGATGATGGTGATGATGATGATGATGATGATGATGATGGAGATGACGATGACGATGAAGAAGAAGAAGAAGAAGAAGATGATGATGATGATGATGCTGGTGACGATGAAGATGGTGATGATGATGATGATGATCCTGACGATGATGGCTATTTTCATGATGATGATGATGATGATAATGATGATGATGGTGATGGCGATCCTGATGATGAGGATGATGATTATTATTCTGGTGATGATGATGTAGATGGTGAAGAAGGAAAGACGTGAAAACGATGATGGTGATGATGGTGATGATGATGATGGTGATGAAGATGACGATGATGATGAAGAAGATGATGATGATGATGGCTATTTTCATGATGAAGATGGTGATGATGATGATGATGATGATGATGATGATGATCCTGACGATGATGGCTATTTTCATTATGATGATGATGATGATGATGATGGTGATGATGATGATGATGATGATGTAGGTGATGAAGAAGGAAAGACGTGAAAACGATGATGGTGATGATGATGATGATGATGAAGAAGAAGAAGATGATGATGCTGATGATGATGATGATTGATGCTGATGATTGATGCTGATGATTGATGCTGCTGCTGCTGCTGATGATGATGATGATGATGATGATGATGGTGATGATGGTGATGGTGATGGTGATGGTGATGGTGATGGTGATGCTGCTGTTGGTCGTGATTGCAGGGTGGTTCTAAGCGATGCCAATTGCGCGGTTCTAAGCGATCCAAATCGCGTGGTTCCAAGCGATCCCGCGACCCCCTGGGTGGGAGTGAGCCACGGCCAAACTGCTTGTGAACCAGCCAGCCGGTGGGGTGGGGGGGGGTTAACTATGAATTTTCATTCGATTGGAGATCCCCTTAGTACCCCGAGAAGGGCTCCAGGTAGCAGAAGCTAGCTTTCGTGACATGTGCGGGCCCAACATGCGGTGAAGGCTACCCATGAATGAAGATGCCAATCATGAGCGCCGCTGCATCAGTGAATTGAAGAAATGAGGCATGCCCTATTGACAACGCAAATGATGCAGAGGACGCCGATGCTGACGGTGTCCCCAGGGGGGATTGGGCCACGGCCAAACTGCTTGTGAGCCAGCGGGGGTAGTTAACTATGAAGTTTCATGCGATTGGAGATTCCAGCCCCCCATACCTTGCTAAAGCAAGAGGGAGTTCAGCTAGCAGAAGCTAGCTGTCGTCAAAACTCCAAATCAATGAAATGAAGTTTCAGGATTTCGGATTGGACCCCGGTACGGCTTAGCCGTTGTTTTCCCGCGTGCTTTTTGGATTCTAATGCGTTTTGATAGGCATCTGGCACAAGCAAGCTTTAGCTTTTGCCACACAGTCAGCAATGCTGTCATGCCAATTGGTACTGCATGCCCCAAGTTTCATGCCCTTTTATGTTTCCCTCCCCTTCAATGTTTACTTTCACGGACCACATGTTGCTTGGGCTGTGCCCTCACTTGTTACTATGTTTCATTTACAAACACATTTATTGAAGCAGTTCCTAATTGAAGCCATGGATATTCAGCAGCCAGAACCTCAAGAATCTCAAGAACTACCTGAAGCTTCTCCACCTCACCCTCCTCAAGCCACATCGACTACATCACCTGCTGCCACTGAGACCCTCACTCCCGAAGAACTTGAACTTATCAGGCAACATCGAGCTACTACCAGAGAGTCTTCTCCTGCAAAGAAACCCAGAACAGACCAAGGATAGGAAGAGTTTCTCACTGCACTATCAGCTAAGGATGTAGAGCTCTCAGACTTGGACTTTGGACTCCAACAGGAACTTCGATCTTCACCTCAAGCCAGAGCAGACTTCCTTGCCCTCAAGCTCACCTCTCCAGAAGCACTTCACTTCGGCCCTGACAAGGCAAACTCCAGCTAACCAAGACGCGACCTTTCACTGACCTTCAAGAGGTCGAAACTCCAACACTTGAGCATCCTCGAGCAGTACAACACTCACATTCAGATCGACGCCATGGATACGAGTACCAGATTGAAGACATTGGAATCCACGATTGACAACAAAGCACTCCTACTTCGAGGACTACCAGCTACAGGATTTACAGTAAAATGAACAACCTCGACTGGAATATGCTTCTACATGAAGAACAAAGACCCAGAGTAGCACTTGGACCATAACTATTCAGCTGCAACAATCTAATTGTACAAAGACCACGCCCCCTTTGTGACTACCACCTCCACTTCAGCAAGGACAAGAGGAACTCTTACCAGCAGATCCTAGGTTCTTCATTTGAGTTGACCAATATCCTCCAGTTCGACTACATGGTGGATGAGCTTACCAACTTCATCAACAACTCATTCCTCTTCAAGGACATCTTTCTTGGCATGGACCCCTACACCAACAATGACCTGACGCACCTTATTTCAGTTTGCGCCTGTTTCACCGATGTAGCCTACTGGCAATATTTGCTCGTGTTTTCAGCGTAGGCCTACGGGCCTAGGGATGAATCACAGCTTCAGATCCCCAATAGGAGCCAAAGGCAGTACCACCCCTTTACCGGACAGTCCCATTTTAGTCCATGAACAGCCAAAGCGGGCAGGGGCCGCCAGAGGCTTGCCGGGAGACCACAGTCCTTCTAAAAGATCATTCTTTCCTTCCAGTATAATTTGCCTCCTCAAAGTCAGACTTGTGGTCAACCCTTCACATCAGAATCTTAGACGGTCCGAAACAGCCCGCAATCATAGACTTCAAACTAACTCCACCGACAAATCGCCGTGGTTATCGTGAATTGTTTTCTCAACGCCCTCGATGGATGTGTCGCACCTTGCCCATTCCATCCGGTTCCGCGTATAAGGTGTAAGTTAGCAGCGTTTCCCAAAAGAGTTATTATCCTCTACTTTTCTTACACGCTTCTTCTCACCCCGAAATTGACGTAGTCAACCACTTTTGGGTGCACTGCTGCGGACGTGTGGCTCAATCGGAGCTGCATAGCGCTTCGGAAAAAAAAAGTGCGCTTTGATCCTCGCAAATTTCCAAATATCTGGGCCGCCCTGCCGTCGTCAGCAGCCTTGCCAATCTAGCCCCCCGGGTAGCTGCCAGGCCAGAATTTCCAGAACCTCCTTCTGCTCCGCTCGAACCGGCCTTGCCTCAGAGGTGGTTGCAGGCCATACCACTCTGAACGGTACGAACAGATCTCTGGGGAGGGTTTTTTGAGAGGGTTCCTGAATTTCCGGACAATTTTGAGACTGCTTGTGATGCGCCAAGCACTTGTTCTAACATGCAAAACCGGTTTCTGAGCATGGTAAATGATTCTGAGTAATTCCTTATGATCCTTGAAGCAACATGTTTGCGTCAATGGATTGTCTTGTATGCCAAAATGCTCAAACTATGGCAACTCCCGCAGGGTTATGAAGACGACAATTGCGCAAACCAACCTCTGATTCCCAAAAACGTGTGTGCAGGGTTCCTTCCAAAAAGCGGTTGCCATTTTACAACAGCATCATCATCATCAACAACAACATCATCATCGGTCACCAGTCATCAGCGGCCATTAGTCACCATCATAATCATCATCATCATCATCATCCTCATCCTCATCCTCATCACCATCAGCAGCATCATCATCCATCCATCCATCCATCCACCACCACCCCCCACCCCCACCCCCCACACCCACCACACCCAACCCCCCACCCACCCCACCCACCCCACCACCCACCCACCCCCCCTCCATCCATCCATCCATCCATCCATCCATCCATCCATCCATCATCCTCCCTCCCTCCCATCCCATCCCATCCCTTCCATCCCTTCCATCCCTTCCATCCCTTCCATCCCTTCCATCCCTTCCATCCGTCTTCACCATCATCATCATCATCGTCGTCGTCGTCGTCGTCGTCGTCGTCGCCATCGCCGTCGCCACCATGGCCGTCGCCGGTGTCATCGCCGCCGCCACCAGCGTCATTGTCCTTGTCGTCGTCGGCGTGGGCGCGGGCATCGTTGTCGTCCTCGCTGTTGGCGTCGGCGTTGGCGTCAGCGCTGGCGTCGGTGTCAGCGTCGTCGTTGGCGTCGGTGTCAGCGTTGTCATCGTCGGCGTTGGCGTCATCAGCGTCATCAGGGTTGGTGTCAGTGTCAGCGTCGGCGTCGGGGTCGGCGTCGTCGTCGTCATCGTCATCATCGTCGTCTTTGTCTACAACTTCAACTACAATATCTGCATCTTTGGTCGCACAAGACGCTTACGCCTTGAGGTGTGTAGTTGCAGGTGGTTGCAGGTGTATGTCCAAGGCCTGCGTTTGGGGAAACCTCCAGGAGAAACGGTTGAGCCAGGCACTTCTTTCCTACATGTTGTGACGTTCAACTGGTATTGACCCATAAACGCTGGGTTTGGGTTTAGGATGGATACATGGGTGGACCTTTTGATAGATACCCGCTGAGAGCTCATACCAGGCTTGACCTGTTTGGCGGGTGTGGAGATCTAGATTTTTGGATGTTCTTTCGGCCAACGGCATTGAGTGTGTTAAGTTGCTTATTTGTTTATTTTGGCAGGCAACACGCGCTTTCACTATACTACTTCGGGTGTGGAATGGAAGAAGCGTTTTGCCAGAATCCTTCAGTGCGCAAAACTCTTCTTTCGTTTGTTTGGTGAAAACCTGGCGAAAACCTGGTGAATTCACCAGGTTTTGACATTCACCATGTTTTCACCATGTTTTGGAAATTCACCAGGTTTTCACCAGCTTTTGGAACTTCACCAAATTGAACCGGATTTCACTGTAAAACGTACAAATTTCAACAAAAAACAGAAAACGCTTCTTTTGGTGGCAATTTTGAAAGAAGTTTTTTTTGGCAACATTTGAAGGGAAAAATGCAAGAAGTGTTTTTGTACTCTCTCTTGAATACACAAAACGCTTCTTTGGAACGTTGGTGGATCACTGGCAAACCCTCCGGGAGCAACTTAACAATTGAGTGGGGCTACTGCTAATTTACAACAAAAGTTGAAAACGCCCAAACAGAGAAGTCGCGTTGGGAGACCCAACTTTGCAGCGCTTGGAGGTCCAAGCACAAGGAAACAACAATGCTACGCCTAAGTCATGCCTAGCGTTTTTCCCCAGATAGCGAAGCTGTTGGCAAGGATGGGTTGCATGCACGTTTGCATTTTGGAGCTGGCATGCTGGTGTGGCTGCAGGGTGCTGCTTCAGGGTGCTGCTGTCAGACTGGCCTGCCGCTGCAGGGTGCTGTGCTGCTGTCAGGGTGGGGTGTGCGCTTTGGAGCTGGTCTTCGGGGTGCTGTCAGATTGCTGCGCGGTTTGGAGATGGCCTGCTGGTGCCGCTGCACAGTGCCACAAGATCCGCAAGGTGCTGCTTCAGGGTGTTAGAGTGGCGCGTGCGCTTTGGAGCTGGCGGAGTTCCTGTGAAAACATGAAAACAATTAAAAAAAGCGGGAAACCAGGCACCAAAGCAAATCCCTCCAAGTTAAACATGTGCATGAGGTTCGTTTTGAACCTGGGATTGAAAAAAAAGGCAGCAAACTTGTGGTAAAAGCTGAAATGTTGCAAGAGCCACAGCAGGAAAAGGTCAAAACTAGACAAAACTGAAGTTCACGCACAGAAATGTCGTCAATGCTTTCTGCATGATAGGAAAAAAATGGTGGGCTGCCAAAGATGCCCCCGTGTTGCAGAAATGTAGAGGCATGCCCTGCATTGAAGCTAAGTATGGCAATATTTGAAACATGTTGAAATCATATTTGTGTTGTTTGAGATTGCGCCGCTCCAGGAGCAGCGCAAGCGAGGTTGAAAACTGTGCGTAATGGTTTTCTGTCTGTCAAAGCTTCTGTGCGAAAAAGCTTCTGCGGGTAAAAGCGGCGCTGTGTAAAAGTACCTTTGCGTAAAAGCTTTGTGATTGTGAGTTTTCTCTGTGCGCAGCGCCTGTGCACAAAATTGTCTGTGTAAACCATCTGTAAGTAAAAGCTTCTCTGCGTAAAAGCTTCTGTGTGTTTAAAAGCTTTGGGTTTGAAGGGACTGTGTGTAAAGGCGCCCCTATATCAGAGGATATTCTGTGTATATAGAAACGACTCTGTGTAAAGGCATCTGTCTGTGTGTGTGTAAAAGCCGCTGGTGTAAAAGCGTGCGTGTCTGTGTGTGAAAAAGGTTTTGCGTGTAGACGCCTTGCTGTAGAGAATTCTTGTATAAAAGTGTTTGTGCAAAAGCGTCTTGTGTGGCTATTTTGTGTGTGTGAAAGTTTTTGGATCATCACCATCATCACCATCATCACTATCATTATCATCACCAACATCACACCATGCGTTTCTATCATGGACATTCATGGATAGTATCTTTTGGAACCCTTCGCGTTTGTGACTTGTCTTTGGAAAGAACGGTTTATGTGTCCCTTTGTGACTTGTCTTTGGTTTCCTTTCGAGCCACACTTTAGTGCAGTATATAAGTTATCCAATTTGTCGCGTCTCACTGTAAACGGCTGCAGGATATTTATGCACTTGTCCTGTCAAGTGTGACCATGCAAAACCTTGGCACCCCTGCGACCTGGATGGCGCAACCCACGACCTCCAAGTCTTTGGCGCAGGTCGGCTCCTGACTGCAAGGCCTTGGGATCTCGACAGCATGCCCCAGGACATCCAGGCACTGCTTACACAGGTTGAGAAGCGAAGTATGGCACGAAAATTTGGGCGGCTAAGCGTATATTCTTTCAGCAAGCGTGGGCCCTGTCTCAGTGGCCATGGATCAAACCCTGGTACCCGAAATGGGTGTTCATCCTCGAATCCTCCAATACATAGGAAAATAATTTGCCCCAACTATTGTATAGCCATTAGCTCAGCATCACTGACAGTCGAACAAAGATTTGAACTGATTGCAGTTGCTTGGATTGCCCGTTTGACACGTCGAATCCGTCGCTGGCATGCAATAAGCGTTTGGCCAAAAGCAGTTTCCGGAAAAGGACGTTGTCAAAGCAGTCACGAGGCTCCATTAGCCATGGCCTTTGTGAGGATGCGCGATCAGCTCAGGTGATTCAGGTGGCTATTGTGAATGTCCTGACTTCGTCAACCACCATGGGAATCGTTCTGTTTCGTCGTCTGTCGTGTCCCTAAGAGATGAGCTCCCGGAGCGCCATGGTGTGTCCAAGATAGAGAAAGCCTCGCAAAATGTCCTACAAGCAACACGCGACCAACGAGGTCCAATCCATTGCGCTTCCATTGTCTCCACCTCTCCACGTCATAGGGCAATAAATGTCACATAAAGAAAGAAATTGTATCTAACACAGCCAGTCCTGAAAGGCAATTGCAACTGCTGCAGCACGCTCATCAAGTTCAGGCTCATCAAACTGAAGTCACGTTCGTTGGAGCCAAGCTATCCGAGTAAAACAAGTTGCAAACGCTCTTCTTTGTTGATGATGAGGTTGCAGCCGGTAAACATGTTTTTACAATTTAATACATCACTATTAAATGCAGGTCGTTCACACTTCCAGTGTCTTTGTCCTAGCTGATGTTCATGCAGTTTGGAAAGTGTGAATGACGCCAATCCACTTCTCCCTGACTTGGCAACGTTGCCCAGGTATCCTGACAGATCATGCCTCTGCTAAGATTTTATCCAGGGAAGCCATCATGGAGTTGCTGAATGCGGTCGGCTGCCGCCTGGGCATCATCAAAGATGCGTGTATATATATATATACGTATATACACACACATGCATTGCATTGATTACATATATATATACATATTACTATTTTTAATATTACGGCAAGACCCTATGGTTGGCTCGCAAGGTTAACATGGAATTCAAATATCAATATGATCCTTCGACATGCTCAAAAACCTGCCCTAAAGCCCTAAACCCTAAAACCCCAAAACCCTAAACCCTAAAACCCTAAAAACCTAAAGCCTAAACCCTAAAACCCTGAAAACTCTGAATCCTAAACGTACGTAGTATTTTTTGCAATTTCTCTTCTCATGTTCGACAACAGGGCATCCTCAATGTTGCAGTCCGGGCAAACCACGGGGCCTGTGCGTAATATTAAATATAAGAGATATAATCATATATGTTATCAATTAAATTGGGAAGGAAAACAAGTACATATATTATATATTTTATTATATACGTATTATTATATATATATATATCATAAATTATATAAACTATATATAGTCTATATTATATACAATATACATATATATCTATATATTATATTGTATGTATTATACATTGTATATACTATACATTATATGTATTATATATTATACATTTTATATCTATACATATTATATATATATCATATTATATATATACAATGTATCTTTGTAGATTGTTTATACATTAAAAATTATGTACGTTACATATATAGATATATACTGCATATATATTAAGTATTATGTATATGTAATGTATATATTAAATATACTATATATATATTATATTTATATATATATTATACATTATATCTATTTCAAATATGTAATATATATAATATTATATTAAATATATATTATATACATTATATCTATTAAATATATATTATATATAATATATATTATATATATTGTATATATTATATATTATATATATTATATATGTGTTATATTTTATATATTTATATATATTATATATTAAATATTATATATTATATATTATATATTATATATTATATATTATATTATATATTATATTATACATTATATATTATATAATATATATAATGTTATATATATATTATATTTTATATATTTTATATTATATATTATATCAGTTATATTATATTATATATGTTATGTTTATATTATATATATTCTATTATATATATTATATATTATATTTTATATCATATTATATATTATATTATATATTATATTATATATTATATTATATTATATATTATATATTATATTATATTATATTATTTTTAATATATATATATATATATTATTATATATTATACTATATTATATTATATTATATATTATATTATATTATATATATATTATATTATATATAAAATATTAAATATATAATATATTATATATATATAATATTTTATATATAATATATTATATATATTATATATAAAATATTATATATATTATATATTATATATTATATATTATATATATTATCTATTATATATATTATTTATATTACATATATATTATATATATTATATATATTATATATGTATATATTATATATGTATTGTATATATTATATATGTATATTATCTATATTATATTATGCATGTATATCATATATATTATATTATATATGTATAGCATATATATTATAGATATTATATGTAGTCTTTATTATACTATATTATATTACATTATATTATATTATATTATAGTATACTGTATATAGTATATATACATATATTATAGATGTTATATTATATATCATATGTATAATATATATATATAATATGTAAAATATATGTGTAATACATATAATACAGATAATATATTAAATAGTATAATATATATAATACATATCATATTTTGTACATAATTAAATATTAAAGATAATTTATAATATATATATATATTATAATTTATATATCACAAATGGGTTTTGTTTGGCCCTTAAAGTCATTGACAAGTTCTGCATCCTAGCCACACTGCACCATTGCACAATGATTTGATTCTCAAAACTTTCGGACAAAGCACAAGATAGCACAAGGTGTTCCATCGTGTTCCCATGTGTTCGGGGATTCGGGGTTTCGAATCATGGCCATCTTTGATGCGTACCTCGGCCTCATCAGTTCGAGCGTCCATGCCAAGGCCTCTAGTTCCTGTGAACCGAAGAAACCGAAGCACTCAGAATCTGCTGTAAACACACAAACTAGGAACCGGAGGCAACTTCAGCACAAGCAAAAAGCACAAGAAGCACAGGAAAGAAGAAAAACAATAAAAAAACAGGGAGGATAATCCGGAACTATCAACGCTTGAAATTCTGATAAGCTTGCTACAGCTTCTTGGGGAGGCAGGATCCAAGAGCTTCCGGTGTAACTTTTATAAGCCCCAGTTCGGCAGCTCGCAAACACCACACAGCAAAACTCCGAAACTTCACAAACACATACTCCACATGACGACACAGTACTGTAAGACTGGCAGCAACATTGACAACATCACAAGTGTGGCCAGTGTGGGACTTGGACATTGGCACCCACAAAAGCTCCATCTACAGCTACAACAAACATTTGAACAAACACCAAACGCAGTTTGCAAACCCACGCGATGCTAAAAACAAAGCAGATCTAGATGGAAATGGACCGGCCGAAGATGGCCGAAGATGGCTGAAGCCGAAGATGGCTGAAGGAAATCGAACATTTCGAAAGGAACAGAGTGGAACAGAAAGGTCCAGCATCGATGGCCGCTTCTGCCATGGCCATGGCCTCCTCCATGAGCGGAGCGGAGCGAGCCAAGAGGAAAGTGGCTGCAGCTGCCAGGCCGTGCTCCTGGATCTGAAACTTATCGCCTCAGTGCACATATTGTACTCATGTACTCTCCAATGCCATCTCATACGCATTCATATTGCAATAAGTGCAACCTTCGCTTGGTGCGCTGCCAAAGTTTGGAACAGGTGCCCTGTTTTAAGGTTCTCATGTCTGTCAATCAAAGTCCCTGTCCTAGAGTCCTTCGAAGGGTTTGCATTTTTTGACACATCAACGATCTATCAATCAAAATTAAATACCAAATCAAAAAAAAACTAATATCATATTATTCAAACACTTGACGGATGTTTCAAGATGTCGTTTCCTTCTGTGCTTCTTTTGCAGGATTCTGTGCTAAGCGCGTGACAATCGGTCCCAGCGTCAAAGCGCATCACTAGCTTCTCAGGCAGTTCCGCCTGCACGAATATTGAAAGACTGATGAGACGCACCGAATTCTATATCAATATAGCGTAATGTTTATTATGTTTATCTAATTTTGCCATATTTCATCATATTTCTATATAGCATGTCCACGAAACACTGCAAGACATTTTTATCCCGTTCATCTCTCTGACTTTGACTTGCCCTAAATGGTCTTCAAATCTTTGCCCCTGACCCACTCTTCGAGCCAGTTGTCACTGAGGCCAGCAGTCCGTAATGCACGCTCCTTGGCGGCTAGTGAAGGACTCCAGTCCAATGACCAATGAACGTTCAACGAAGCAACACAGCAAACGAAAATGCTGAAGTCACTACTGCGAAAGCAGAGAATGAAACGGCAAGACGTCTGGCTAGGGACAATACCAAAAGCCACGCCCTGGCCTTTCCAAAGAGGGTGTGACAAGAGTTAAGTGTTGCCTGCATGCAGTTGACAGTGGAATGCGGACGAATGTTCCCAGGCCTGCATTGGTAAACGGCATATTTGATCCTGCAGAGGTTGTTGCCGCAGAAACGATGTAAGCCTCATCTTGCGCACAAAAAATTATGGGCAGCTCTGCTACGAGTACACTGTTGACATGAGTTACAAAACTCTCACACACACTCTTTCTAAAGTGGGTTTGTTTCCGTGCCCTTCTAGGTAAAGATCAAACAAAGGGTTCCTCAGGTTCATGAAGACCCGGACAATGGTCATGGTTCGGGAAGGGGGTGCTGCAAAACTGATCAGGTCTGGCTGCGCCAAATTTGGTTGGTCTAAATCGCATGAAAAGGACAGGTTCCCTACACCCACGCAAGCACGCACGCAAACACACTCTAAGATGTTGCACAAGAGCCCTTCAACGGTCAGAGGAGCTGGCTAAAAGTTTCAATGCACATTCCCAATTGTTTTCATAGTCATAGTCATAGTCATAGTCATTGTCATAGTCATAGTCATAGTCATAGCCGTCATAGCCATACTACATCATAGTATGTCAGTACTGCAACATATTGCAGCAGAATGGAGTTGTAGTCCCAAGTCGCAAACTCCAAAAGACATCCTTCCATAGCCTCCATGCCAGATGATCCTGGCGCAGACGCGCTGCAGAAATCGGCGCTGAAGTCAGACCTGCTGAAATATCCACGGCCTTGCGATTGCCGCCAATGAAATGCCAGGCCTGGCCAAGTTGTCAAACTCAAAACAAGATAAAAAACAAACAACTTTCAGGCCGTTTGCAACTCTGCAGTGAGAAAGGTGAGGCAATACCCTGCTGGCGCAATGTGTACATCTATCTCCAACATTCACAAGCATCGAGTTGATGGGGTGTGAGGCCCAATTCACAAGCGCTTGCTGAACCCTCACTCTGATATTGCCTCTGGGCAAGCCAGTTTCAAGACAAAGGCGGGCCATAAACCAAAGTCAGACTCTCTAGATTCTATAACCACGAACAGAAGATGAAGCACCGAAATGTTGGAAAGTGCAGCCCATCCTTCCCCCATTGTTCGTGCAAAGCGTTCATCAAGCGACAAGAAGAGACGAAAACCTTTGATTTTAGTTTGTTACAATTTGATGAAAATCGTGCCTGCATCAACAAAGCATCCATCCTCCAGAGTTGCAGCCTGCGCCAGGCCATGCGTTGAAAGAGAAACTAAATAAAACCTGGTTTTTCATGAGATGACCAACATGAGAATCCGGAAACGAAACCAGAGAAAAGACATGAAAAAACATTGACCTCCAGTGGTTTTCACATTGTTCAATATTTTCATCCTTCATTGTTCAATGAAGGTGAAGCTTGGAACGGCCAAGCATGTGACAACAATGGCCCCGGTATTTTTTGCCATGTCACCTTGCACTCTCCAGAACGTATTGGGAATTGCCCACGCTGAGGGGTCTCCTCAGAAACGCGATCGACTCTATAGGATTTGGTGAAAGTAGACCGAAACATGAAACAGAAAGAATCATACCGAGTTCACGTAGGCTGTCGGACACGTCCGATAAGAGTCAGCAAGGCTGGGCAGCGCGGAAAGCATCAAAGGTCACAAGGAACAAAACTCACTCGCGCTGGCACCTTTTAAACGGACCAAAGCCAAAACCAACCCAGAACGTAGCAGCATTCCATTCCATGCCAAGCGCCCGGCATTAACCAGAATAGCTAGCCTGAGACATGCAATTTTTCCTAGTCAGCTGCAAAGGACAATACACAGGATATTAAATACGATGACGATGATGATGATGATGATGATGGTGACGATGATGATGATGATGATGATGATGACGATGACGATGACGATAACGATGACGATGACGATGATGCTGATGATGATGATGATGATGACGACGACGATGACGATGACGATAATGCTGATGCTGATGCTGCTGATGATGATGATGATGATGACGACGACAACGACGACGAGGACGATGACAATGACGATGGCGATGGCGATGATGATGATGATGATGATGATGATGATGATGATGATGATGATGATGATGATGATGATGATGATGACAATGATGATGACGATGATGATGATGATGGTGACGATGATGATGATGATGAGGAGGAGGAGGAGGAGGACGACGATCACGATCACGATCACGATCTTGATCACAATCACAATGACGATGATTATGATGATTATGATGATGATGATGATAATGATGATGAGGAGGAGGAGGAGGACGATGACGATGACGATGACGATGACGATGGCGATCATGATGACGATGAGGGTGACGATCACGATGACGATGACGATGACGATGACCATGATGATGATGATGATGATGATGATGATGATGACGACGACGACGACGATGATGATGACGATGATGATGATGATGATGATGATGATGATGATGATGATGATGATGATGATGATGATGATGATGATGACGACGACGATGATGATGATGATGATGATGATGATGTTGAACCACTGCTAAATGACCATGAAAACAGAGACCCACAACAGCCAGGCCAAAAGCAGAAGAGAAGAGTATTCGTCCCGAAGACTCTGAAAAAGAGCACGTGGAGTGTGAAAATATTACGCTGCCTCTGCAAAGCTTCTTCATTTTGGACGTCAGCTGTGCCTCACAAGCACAAGGTAACACACAACTTACACAACAAACGTATCGACTCAAAACTCCCTGCAGTTCAGCCAAGGTGGCTGCAATATGCTGCAATGTCTGTTCTCATTTTCGCACCATCGATCCTTGGAGTCCCAACCTTGACCGACCACCCACTCAATTGCTGCAGGAGATAATTGCGCACTGTCCACTCCAAACCTCGGGCGTCTGCAGGAATCTGCATGTCTGGCCAACTACCTTGTGCAAAATCGGGAGTGGTCCAAAGAACCAAAGTGGACCAAGTTTGTTGACTGGACAGATTCTTCAAGCCGCAGGTGCACGCGCAGCAGGCCTGTCATTTTTGCAGCACGAGGCACAGACACGAGCAAGATCCACCAGGGCTATGCGCAGGGAAGGGTGCCTCCTTCACGCACATTTGTTCGGCATTTCGTGTTGGATTCAGCTGACGAGCAGTGCTGTGAGCTCAAGGGTGCCCCTTCGCCGACTTCATCTTCGCCATCATGGAACATGACCGAACGCTTCATCTCGTTCGTCAGTCCTGTAGAATTTGTTCAAATGCGCTTTGCCAAGGGTCAATGCTGCTTATTCCAAGGTATTGCTCTGCCCTTCGAACGCATCATACATGATGAAAGGAAGGTCAGTTCCTTTCACTAACGCCTCAACATCGGCACGCACGACGTTGGGAGGCACCTTGGAAGTGTTTGAACAGGGCCTCGCCCACTGGAGTTCTCCAAGGAAATATTAACTGTGCAATACCGTGTAAAACAAGAAAATAAATGAAATAAGGATAGTGCTCCCGGTTCTCCAGAACAGTATACCACTGCAAGAGGCATTTACACAGCTTCTAACTCTGGACGCAATTCGTCCAAGATGCATCTCCCACCAGAGCTGTTTGCACATGGCGTTGCGAATCGATAAAGGCTACGTGGGGCAAGCCATCAACACCGAACCTCTTGGCCCAAATATCGTTCTCCAGAATCCTTGGAAGTGTAGAACCTCAGGGTTGACCATGGTCCGCGCTGCAGAAAACATACAGGCCATTACAGGCCAGACCTCTGACTGTCACTGACCCACCCTGACCCACCCTGACCCATTTGGTGCCCCTAGCCTGGAGCGGCGTAGGTTACATCCAAGGTCACAAACTCGACGGCGTTCCCAACTTGCTGCTTGAGGTCGAGAAGAACTGGTGCCATCTGCTGGCAATCAGGACACCAATCAGCCGCAAAATCTACAATCACCGGCTTTCCTGACTTCAAGGCCTGAGTGTCGAAGTGCACACAAGACATCACAAGACTAGACCCGGTTTCAAGACACGTTAATCATCTAAACTTATTGAAAATTGCTTACACCATCTTTCATCTTTCATCCAAATTTAGTCATAGGTGCTCGGAACATGCAATCGTGATCAAAGGCCTGGAAGAGAGCTGTGTGCCCTAAAAAATGTAACAATGGTGGTCATGACACAAAGGCCCAAAAAAAGAAAGGAAAGGGTTGCATCAATAATATGGTCTACCACAGCTGTCTGAAGAGGGGGAAGTATATCTACAGTATGTGATTTACATGGTCTGTTTCTCAAACTTTTTGCCAAACTTTCAAACTGAAGTTCATCAGATAGCTTTCGGGATTCGCTGGCCATCTGTTTAATGACACTCTCTGCCCTTGCTGGTGTCGGCGTGAGCCCGGCTCCCAGAAGTGCACCCAAGACTTCTCGGCGACTCTCTGAGGAGCCGCTGGCGAAGGTTGCAACGTAGGAGCCAAATGGGCCAAATGGGCCAAATGGGCCAAATGGGCCACAGCAAAGCAAGGCCACTGCCACTGCCAGAGCAAAATGCAAACGCCAAGCCTTTCGCCAAGCTTGCGGCCAAGCCGACCGCAACACTAAGCGCGGTCGCGGAATTGCGCTACACATGGCCACAGCTGAAGGAATCCGCTCTGAAGCCAAACTAACTAACGGTGACGCGGAAAAAAATGTGAATTAAAACTTAAACAGTAAATGATGAGATTGAGATATGATGAGTTATGATGAAAATACGTCTGAACAATCGTCCCTGTGGCTGATCCGAACTTCCCTCAGCCTGCCCTCAGCTCCTCACACTGCGGCAATGTCTGGATCATTTTGCACAAGCCTCCCAAAATCTCAGCAAATCCAAAGATTTCCTGCCACTCTGGCATGAACACGTTGCTGCTTGTTACACAGAGAGGTATAGGAAAAACCGCCTGCTCAGCACATCTGAGGGACCTGAAGTCGCACGATGTGTTACATCAGTTACATCAAGTTACATCTTTAAAATAGATGCCAATATACGCTTTGGGAAGTCGGGATGCGAAGCATGGATATGGGGGGTTCCTAAAATGTGGACCCCAAAATCATCCAAAATAGGTTAATATCCACGGGAAAACCAATGGTTTTGGGTAGTCAAGTTTTAGGAACCTCCCATACAACGCAGAAGCGTGATCAAGTTTGATCCGCAACCAAACCAGATCTTGGAGTATTTGGGAGGAAGGACTGCACGCAGAAGGCATACAACAAGCAAGTAGTGGAAGAAGGATGACTAAGCGTTCATCATACGCAGGCAGAAATGCATACTGCCTAATTGCTTAGCTGCCTGCCTGAATAAATTTCAGACTATGGCCTATGGATATCCCAAACTGAGCATTCAGCACAAATCGAATTGGCTGGGCAACGCTATCAACCGGACGTACTGATTATATATAAGATATTATACGATAAGTCGATAAGCATATGGCGGTTGTTTCGAAAGAGTGCAAGGGCGGCTGCTATTTCAAGTGAAGTGCTTTTTCACCGATACCCTCCGTCATGGTATCGAGATGTATCGAGCACACTCTGTTTGTGCAGAGAAACGCATTAACTTCTTGTGCATACAAGCGTCTGGAACCATCACCACATCGTTTCCAGCAGCAACCAGCTCTTCCCAAAGATGCTCTGATCTGCTCCTGCCAGACATCTATGCCATTCCCTAAAATTGGCCGCAATCCCCGGGTTGCTACAGGAATCAAAGTGATGGAAAACCTGAAATCAGGCTGGGGATGTTTATTCGCAAATGCCACGGGAAGGCTAAGTGACCAGAGCCAAATCCTTTTCAAAGCTTGGATGGTCTAGGATGATGGAACCCCTCATCCCAACATCCTCTGCCAGCCACAGGTGAGCATCCTGTCAGGTCCCAAGAAGCTTCTGGGAAGGTGGCATTATCACGCTGAAATACAGTGGTCATCAGTGGTCAATGCTGGTTGCACTGTGGCATGTGGCAGCATGTTTTCGATGCAGTGGGAGGAAACGACCCATGTTCAGCCTCAGGTTCGCTACAGCAAGGTGCTGCTTCATTTGCCTCACCAAAGACAGAATGAAAAAAAGAATTAAAAAAAAGATAATGTTTCTTCATCAATGCTCTGTTTAACTTGAGATTAGGTGAGAGCAATCCTCAGAGCCCTGTCACAGTCTGGGATTCAGACAACGATGAAGCACAGCTCCACACCTCTTGCTCGCAACCTGCACCATGAAACATAACTCCAACACAACAGAATTTGGAGGCCAGCGCCAATGTAGTCCAATTCCCTTTCAGCGCCGTCGAGTTTCACAGATTACCAGCTTCCAGCTCTGATCTCCAGGCTTAGCAAAGGGAAAGAGCATTGATTGCTCCAGATTGATACTGAGCCACAGACATATCTGACTTTTAGCCCATCTTTGTACTTCATCGTTCGCTCACATGATAGGCATCTGTTCATGTCATATAGATAATAGATAGATCCTTTGGTTGGAACTTACCCTTTACATCCGGCAGCAGCCCTCTGCCTCCGCATCAAACTCTTGACGCGGCGGTCCAAACTGCGATACGTTCTCGGAACATTCTTGCCTTGATACAAATTCAGCGTCACATATTACTGGTATGAGATGGCACGAGTATGTACGAGTACAATTACACTGATCATGGCCCTGATCATGTTGTGCATCTTGCCTTTACCGGCCTTCACTCCGCCATGTGCTCATGTTGCCTTCGCCTGCCTGTCTTTGCTTCTTCTCTTACTATATAATGTGTGTTGTTTTTTTTGAAGCTCTCTCTGTTATGACATTTTTGAAAATAATTCTGCCCTGAAAGACTTTGCGGATTGGTGAGTTTGTTGGATTTCGCAGAACATCCGCCCAGTCCTCGCCGGCGTTCCATGTCGACCAGCCATCTCACAAGAGTGTCGAAGTCAACAAATACCTGAAAGATTGCGGTTGCCACGGACCTTTTGCCGCCTGAATCTTTTAGATAGCGCAATCCACACATTCGACTTTCATTCAACTTGACACCACAAAGAACACCACAAATGACAACAAACTAAACAGAACATGTATATATGAACGAGAAAATGGAGGGTCATTAGCTCGATTCTTCATTGACGCTTAGTAGCTCTATATCGACTCAACAGCTCTTAAGATTCTTAAGTTCTTACTTCATCCTCTTTCCCTCTTTTATATTCTTTTATGATTAAAGTCTCAAGTCCCGACGGCCTCTGTGGCAGTACGCTGATGGGGGGCTTCCAAAATCGTAGAAAACATCTGAAGCCTCAAAGTTGCACCAGCCATGGCCAAACAATCACAATGCCCTGAGGCCTTTTCCGTTTTTTGTTTTTCCATCTCAGGACATGATCACATGATGTCGCGTGTCAAGGTGTCTCTGCCCTCCAGGCCTGGATTTTCCATGATGCCTTCGACGGCAGATTCGCCTCAATTCATGGCGGGCTTCGAGAAGCGCAGCTTGTGCGACGGTCCAATACGCGCTTGGATGGCTTGGACATGCTAGGACTGATTTGGACTGGCTCACGAACGCCAAGTTTCTGTGACACGTCTGCCTTAGTATAAATGATTCTCAGGGGGCCTTCCGCCCGCAACTGCTGCAGCAACAAGCCCAGAGTACAGCGGCTGACCTCAAGCGCACAAATGTGCGATGTGCAAAGGCCCGCAGAGTTTGCCAGCATGTTTGGACAGTACTTGGCCAAATGAGCACCGCTAAGAACGAGGCAGCCAAATCCTGAAAAAGAAGCGTTGGTTCGGCGAAGATGTGATACACTGCGAAGCCAAGCAACTACTCCTGGAAAGACACTATGGGTTTCAAGCAGTGCTCAGTCAGTCTTTGCAAGCCTTTCTCATTCAAGTATTCGTCTTCACAACTGCTGGACTGGGTCCATATGTGGCCTGGTTGGTATCCATGCTCGGCATTCCGCAATGATGGCAATGACCTAAGTTGCACCGTTCTCTGAACAGTCCTCCCATTCCAGTTCATCAGTTCATACCGATTTCGAACATCAGCAGCGGCCAGTCTGCTCTCGTCTAACATTGACATGCCTGAGTCTGTTTGAATCTGTTTGAGGTCAAACTCAGTGTTGGACCGATCGCAGTACATTTGCGCCACAAGCTCCGGCCACAAGGTCCAGTGAATTATATGAACTCGTTCTAGAATATTGCGATGCAACAGCTTATAGTAGGGTCAGGGAAAGGGTTCACATAAGAAGAGGAAATATGACGGTCAGAATTCCTTCAATAAGGGATAGCCATCCAACCTTTGTTGAGGATTCCCAATGTTGGGGTGTGGGGGTGCGTAGATCTCCTACAGTGAGTGCATGACACTGAATCTACAATCATTGAGGGAAAGAATTCTATTCCCACAAGTGTTCACAGCATGCGCAAAATGCTACAAACGTGGCATCAGCAATTTTCAATATGCTGTAATATGCATTTAAAAAACGGCATTGGCTTGTAGTGACTTCTGTCTCTTGGTATGGAAGTGATCTAACTCTGCGGCAGAGGTGGTGCATGTCGCACCGAACACGGTGCATAGCGTTTGCAAGGAAGAAATGTGCACAACACCATTCGCTATCTCGGTCTCAGACCAAATGCTGCAACAGCATCCCAAGAATGAGAAGTTTCAACTGATGAGTCTTGTCGTAGAATTGTAGATTAGAATTACTTAATAGTGTTGAGCTGTTACTGTTTATCAAGTCGAACACAACATACAAGCGGACACCCAGTATGACTCAGGGCCCAATCGTTTCCCTTTCCGGCTTTGAGTTCAAAAAGCTAGAGAGCATTGGAGGGTTCTGACGCTTCTGACACTCGTAAATCGGTTCCCTTCGTGCCAACCCGTGAAGGTGCTGTCTTTTGACTCATTTTGACTCCAGCTCACTTCTGACCTCAAAATGTACAAACTGCGCAGTACAAGACTCTCCTGACACTAGACGCCTGGCTACGCCCTGAGGCCACAGCTAGTCCTGCGATCGTCGAAATGACCTGCAATGCGTTCCATCGGGTTTCCGCAGATCTCCGCGTGTCTTTACGTGGAAATGGAAATGGTAGGTCGCACCAAGCGGGAAATGACAAAATCCATGGAGCTGGAAGTTGAACTTGTGCACCGTCAGCTCACAAACTCGAAAAGGAGCGTCAAAAATGGAATGTCCAGTCTATTCACACCAAATGTGTTTTCAAAGTATTGAAATCAATTGAAATCACATGAAATCACTATACACGTCTATACAGTAAGTTTTCAAAATTTGGGTCATGATGCGTCATTCCGTCGCATCTCGAGTCTTTGAATATGAAGCGGACATTGAGGAGGCCTCAGGCCGCGTGGCAGCGCGGAGCAGGGCAGCATGTGCTGCCACAGAAGGAACCTGGCACTCAATCCACGGTGAAAATCGCTGAAACATAGGAAGAGAATGGAAGAGAATGGAAGAGAATGGAAGAGAATGGAAGAGAGGTCAAGATGGTCAAAACTCAAGCAAATTGTATCAAATTGTATCAAATTGTCCGAGAAGTCTATCATGCTCTACGTGCTTGCTCTGTTTGGTTGGGCAGGAAAACCTTTCGTGTTTCTCTTTGCTTCAACAAGCTGCACTGCCTGCCTCACATCCCAAGTGCACCTGTGAGATGTCTCAAAGGTTCCAAGGAACGACGGTCATCAACTGTTGACTCTGTCGTCTTCTGCAAGCTGCACTCAAAACTGCCTCAAGTGCAGACGTGAGGTACTCGATGTTCTCGCTGGTGTCTAGAAGCTCCTGAAGGATCAGATGAAAACCTGGCAACTACTTTCAGGGTCAACGTTCTATTGGGGAACTTGAAGATTGAATTCTGAAACTTGGGAGTCGTATTGTGAAACGGTGAGGTGGGTTTGTAAAGCTAGGATTGAAAATCATTGAAAATGGATTGTGAAACTTAAAGCCTGGGTTTTGAAACTTTGGAAACTGTCACCATGTTAATCTTGTGGACACTGATGGTCACTTTGAAAGTTGGGTTGGCGATTTGATACCATGATATTCATTTGGACACTGATAGTCACTTTGAAGTTTCATGGGGGTGGCGATATCATTTTGACACGTTCTCGCATATCACACCATAGTCTTGGCACGAGCTCTGCGCCAGTTTGAGCAAATTTTGAGCAAAAATGATATGCGTATCACAAAAGCAAACAGTCGATGAGATCCGTTCAGCCCAAGCTCTGCAACAGTTTCATGCTCTGCATTTACACTTACACAAAAAAAAAAAAAAGCAGTGCATAAAATCAGTTCAGCCTGCAATTCGTTGCCCATTACAATATACTTTTCACCACAAAGGTCTGTCTGGCTTTCACACAACCACTCAACAAGTCCTCGTCTGGATTGAGCCACCACGCTTCAGGCCTGACACCAATGTGCTTCAGCTAACATCAAGTGAGCACCATCACAGGCAAGGGCAGGAAAGGCTGCTGATGGCAACTGCTGGCAACTGATGGCATGTGTCTACTGGAATCAATTCTTCATTCTATTTACTGTAAGGTAATTCTTCCTCATCTTCATCTCCTTAGAGCGGGTTGCCTTGCTTCAAGAAATGGCGAGGCCAGGCAGCGTGCTATGGCTTCATGAACCTGCAAGGATTGAAGCGTCTGCGGCTTGGGATGGCAAATTGACGCAAATTGTCCGACGTGTCAACAACCTCACCCTGGACTGCGTATGGGGCCCCATGTGACGAGTAGAGATATACAAAGCTCTGCCAGACTGAAGTTCAAAGCTTGCGTAAGCTTGCCAAAGGCACCCTTTCCTCTGTGTCTCCTGGGGCATCAAGCCACTGGTTCAGTGACAATGACCTCAAGTTGTGGCTGCCAATGAATGATGCAAGAACTCCATCTAGTCTAGTCTCCAATCGTAGACAGAGTGAATGGATGTAATCAGAGGAAAATATTGAAGCTGATAGCAAATGCAAATAGCAAACACAGGCAGTAAGTAAGATAAGAACAAGGTGTCAGCTTTTGCTTCCGCAAGGGCTTGCTGAAAAAGCCAAAACGACCCGCTCAGCAAGTGCAACCATGTTCCTAAAATGCTGAAGGTGTCTGGATTTGGGCAAGCTTGTAGCATTTTTACAGACTGTTCCTGAGACATTGACCACTCTGAGATGCACTCAACCTTAAGAAAAGTTGCACATCGTACTGCTCAGTCACACGGAAGAGCCAATAATTTCTCTAGGCTACTAGCCGCATGCTGCTCCTAATTCTCTCTGAATGTCAATAGCAATTTGTAAATGTTATAAATGTGTTATAAATGTTATAAATGTGAAATGTGCATAAAGAATCATAAAGAATCATAAAGAATCATAAAGAATCATAAAGAATCATAAAGAATCATAAAGAGTGTTAATGTTAAAGATATATAAAGATATAGAGAAGATATAGGTCAGCTACATGAAGCTGTGGGTTGGCCAGCTGAGGCCATGGCGGCATGAAACCAGTGGCGGGGAACCACGAGAACGTCCTTAGCAAAGCTACGCCAGCCACGCCCAGCTGTGCGCCAGCCATCAGGATCCATCAGGATCCATCAGGCCCTCTAGGACTCTCTGAGATCTCTGAGATCTCTGAGGTTTTGTAGGGAGGCTACTCCAGGGCATAGCACCACATGCAGCCCACACCTGGGATACCGCTGCACTCGATACCACTCGATACCACTCGATACTGTCCGAGACATCAAGACATCACATACAGTTGCTGCAGTTGCTCCATTTGCGCATAAGGCGCCGGCTCAGGTAGTTCTGCATGAAAAGGGTCCACATCTGTAAAAGTGGAGGAGTCCTGCACTCAAAACAAATTAGCAAGGAGAGTAGCTTGATACAACCGAAACCTACTATTTTTGAATGTCAGCACGGGCCAACGCGCATTTCTCCTTGCAGCAGACTGGAACACATGTTTGATTTCTACAGTGAAGGCCAATGAAGGAAAGTTGATGCGTGCATCTTAAGTTAAGGCATCCTCAGAGGCATCCAAGTCAGTCCTCGAAAGGAAGACGATGGGCACCGAGCCATTTGCTGTCTGGTTCAAACAACAACCTGGCCAACTGACGATGATGATTTTCGCAGAAAAGCGAACCCATTCCAAACGCTGAAATCATCTGAAACCTTTCCTGCAGGGTTTGTACCGTTGCATTCTTAAGTCTATCGGAAAGCAAGCAAGTTTCAAGAACTTTATCAACTCTGCTCCGAAATATTCTCCGCCCGAGCTTTCACAAGTCTTTCACGACATGGGAAGGCGGGGAAGGCACCAGCATTTCTCACCAGCGAGCTGGGCCACTACATTGTGACCATACGCATCCTGGTGACACCTCAGTCCCAAACCAGGCAGCTATGATCAGTTATGCAGTCAAGAGGCTGCAGTGAAGGTGAATGCAATCGTTGAAACTCAACAGCCTACAGTATGTGAAACATCATCTTGCATCCGATTGTTTTCCAGAACGGATGCCGCAACATGCCTTAAGCATGTTGTGAGGTCATTATGTCTTGGTCGCAAACATTGGGCGCCAAATGGAAAGACATTAACTGTACACAGCTTTGATATCTGTGAAGGCTGCAGGCCCTAAAAAGCTGACGGCCCTCAAAAGCTGACTACATCTAGACTTCTCAATTTTCCTGGCTCTTGAGAAAAACAGAGCAAAAAATCGGCTTTGCGATGGAAGTAGCTCAGTTCACTCAGAGCTGGAAGGCTTCAGCGATTTCACCGATTTTAGCGATTTCAGCGATTTCAGCGATTTCTCTTTTGCTTCGGCGAGCTCCCTCCCTCAGCGCGGAAACATTGGTGGCAGAGTCAAAGCAAAATTGGGCAGTTTGAGCCAGTTCAAGTGCAGAGGAACCCTGAACATCCAGTCAGGCTGCTACGTTGAAAGACGGTCGTGCTCAGCAAGGTTTGCAGGAACTCTTTCCGGACAAGTAACTTCCCCCAACATAATCAATCATAATCATATATAATCATATAATTAGCATCATGCATATATATACTGTATATATATAATTATATATAATCGTATCCATTATGATACGATATTGCATAGTATTGCATCAGATTGCAACGTATTGCAACGGTTGGCATCAGTCGCTGCCCAGCTGCAAAAGATCTTGGACTCGATACTGGGCTGTCGCCAGATCTTGGACTGGCTGCGGATCTTGGGCTCGCCTCCGTTGGAGCATCACCGAGCAGTGGCTTGAACGTCTTTTGATCTATATGTCTATGATAATATATCTATATATATATAGTATTATTATCATTATTATTGTTATTATTATTATTATTATTGCTATTAGTATTATTAGTAGTAGTATTATTATTATTAGTATTATTATTATTACATTTTATATCATGTTATATTATATTATATCAAATTATATCATTGATCGCAAAGGAAGCCTTGACATGGCCTGACCAGATGTTTCATCCTGTTTCATCCTGTTTCATCATCTTAGATTTCCTCGGACGAGAGGCCGGTGACGGCACCTGCTGGGGCAAATAAGGGTTCTCCTGACATCTATGGAATCTATGGCCGCTTGTGACAGTATCTGGAATGATTTGTTTGATGGCCATTTCAAAGGGTCCTGATCATCTGGAGCAAACCCATAGTAATCGGTTCCATAGCACTCGAGGAAGCACACCTCACACATACCTCAACTTTGCGCGCGGTAGAGCTTTGAAAGGTTTTCAAATTACGGATGTGTTTTCAGAGCTCGGAAACTGTCAGTCAAGAGGACAAAGACATGATAGTAAGTGATAGTATGAAAGGAGCCATGCAAAGATGCTCGATCCCTTGTCTCTGCAGCTTCAGACACATCCGTGATGATGGCCTTTGGTTGCCGAGAGCTTTTGCAGTAGGGAGGCCTCGTGCGGAATCTTGCTTGAATTGAATAAACAGCATTGCTGATTCAGTACACGGACGTGCTCGTACACGGAAGTCTTCATCTAGGACGGTAAGAATCTCTTATGGTTCAAACACATACGAGGAACAAAAAGCACAAAACATTGTAGGGCTTGACACTGCGGAACACAAACGCTCTTTTGGATGTGGCTCTGTTATTTCGCCAAGTACTTAATTACCCAATACTTATGTGTTTAGCCTTGGTCAACGCCACATTTTAAACAACTCGGAGCTACCCTTGAGAAATTCCCTCCAACTGAGGTGGATCCTCCCTCGATGCAGCACCAATACCCAAAACTGCAGCTCCCGGCCTTGACGGTCATCTCTTCACCATTCTTTTCCAGTGCTATCATAATGATGCCCTGCTTCTTCCCTGACAACTCCGTGCCGTGTATACAATGTCAATCAATGTCATGCATCACTTCTGCAACATCTGAATCTCTAGCAATTCACCAGGACCCGAACACAGACTCACACTTGCAAAGTACAGTCTTGAGGATCCAAGTTAATCAAAGTATGTGAGTTCCTTATGGTTCCTTATTGACTTTCGCAAGAAATCATTGCAAAATGCACCTGGTCCCATCACCTTCCCGGTCGTTACGTCCAAATCCTGAGTCTCCGAGAATGTGAAGCACAAATCATGAAGGGATTGATCTAACCTGTGAGCATTCTCTCCATCTGTAAGCATTCTTTACCTTGAGATAGTTGACTGGCCTTCACGCTCTTGCAACTTGCTTCCAAGGGGCATCCTTTAACAAAGACGCACCTGACAACTCCTTAGTTCTATCTTCACAATCAAGAGTCAAGAAATATTACAGAACTCAGAATGCGACAAGCTGCCACAGAAGATACTGTCGATGGTACGTCATGGTGAGTCATTGTGACTTGGAAGTACATCCAGCAGTTACAAATAGTTTGTCGAGTCTGTCGAGCATCTGAAAGCAGGCGGCCTTTTAGCCGTACTCGGTCCCCAATTTCAAAGCCACAAAGTCGCGGGTCGTCTTGTTCTGCTTCCTTCCTGACGAACAAGAAACATGTAAAACATTATAAAATTTATAAAACACTGCATTCAACAGTTTACATAAAGAAAAACTGGAAGATCGAAGCACTGAAAAGTGAAAAAGAGCATTAAAAAAAAAAAAGATTTGTGCCATGTGTATCCATGTGTCATCTCCATGCTGTCACACTCATCCTTCAGAATCTGGTAGAACTCCTGCAACCCACAGCGATCCACAGCGGCATTGTAATTTTGCTGCGACAAAATGAAGAGAGTTGAGAGAGTTTCTTTATGTTTCTTTGAGACACTCAAACTACGCTACTAGGCTATAAGATGCTATAAGTACAGGAGTCAACAACCTACAGTAGGCGTACAAGCAGGAAAAGCGAATTGTCCAGAACTCTGCGACTATTTCGTCCTGCATAGCGCATCAATCTGACCGGCAATTCATAAGCTTGGAAGGACTTTCAAGAAATACATTGTACGGGATCTACACGTTTGTCCATGCATTTCTGTGTTCATCTGCAAAGTGAAACCCTTCGCTCCCCGAAGTCAATGCTCCCAGAACCATCAGCATCAAAGCAGCGTAGCACACCATCCAGCTCTGCCGGTGACAGGGGACAGCCCAAGCGCCTTCGCTGCAGAAATGAAACTGGCAAGTGGGCAAGACCTGAATGGTGGCAAATTACATCAACAAAGTGTATCCAAGTGTTCTGATGTTGTACATTCGACGACTTCTTCGCGCTGGTCACTGTTTGCATAAACAGAAATTGTCAGCCATCTGTCAACGGCAAAAACGGTCCTCTAATTCTCTCGTGACAATTATGACAATTGGAGATCAAACTGAAGTCTTGCAGTGGTGTTTATGCATGTCTCCACGCCTCAAGGCGGCTGCCATTTCACTTCTGGTGAGAATGCCATCACCATTCTGCGGGCAGCAATGGCAGAAACGGAAAAGGAGAGAAGCGGGAGAAGCGAATTGTCAAAAAGTTACTTCGACAACTTCGACAACTTCGACATGCAATGGAAATTGTCCAATCTCGCCCTCACTGTACATTTACATACATGGCCTGATCGATCTCATGGAAAAGTTCGAGCTCAGAGAGTCCTTGGTCCTGGTCGTCCAGACAGTGCAGTCCATGCAGTCCATGCAGTCCATGCAGTCCATGCAGTCCATGCGCAGCTGCCCATGATTTGTTTGCCTTCAAGTCTATACAGTGGAAATCATTGGAACGATGTCGCGACTAACTCTTGTGAAGCACCAAACATTTCTCACCGTGTCCGCTTGCCTCAATGTGTTGAATCAGGCCTTGGAGGCTCGCGACTTCATCAAGTCAAACTCAGATGACTCAGCGAACTGCAATGAGTGCAAGGAGATCCAGGTTTATTCCAAGAAGCTGAAAAGTGCTTGCTTCAAGGGCGATTTAGCTCTGATCTCTTCCAGCTTCCTTGGAGAAATGTTGGTTAGAGGCTGATAAAAGCAAAGCTGCGATCACACCATTCAGTCACTCTGCTTCCCGCGCACAGCAGTGAAAGGTATGAACAATTCAGTCAACTGCATATTGGCCCTTGTCCGCTGTCGATGATATCAGTACAATGTCGAATAATCTCAGGAAATTTGGCTTAAAGTCACCCAGGTCCATACACTCTTCCTGGCCACCAATATATTTCATTTGCAACCAACTTTGTGAAGGGTGGAAGAGGTACGAGGTATTATGTTGTGCAGTCTTTTGCTATCATTTCCCAGTCCAACGGCCAGTGACATCACACAAACTGTTCAAGTAACTCCTGACGCGCTGCCTGCCGTCTCTCTGCCTAATGCTGTCAATGCAGCAAATGTTGACTTAGTTATAGCTCTTCACTAAAGGAGCTCAAGCAACGCAGCTCAATCAGGCAGAAATGCCGTCAGTTTCGTGCAATGACTGCAAGGACAAGACTTGTTGATTTTGAGATATTTTGAGTGTGCAAGGTGATCAAGGTGATCAAGGTGATCCCAGTCTGGCCACATGCGGCAAATGCCATGCGAAATTATGCGAAATTATGCGAAATTGTGCGAAATTGTGCGAAATGCGGAGATCCTGCCTCCACCTCGGCTGGAGTTTTCTGATCCTTTCTTTTTTGTGCCTTTTCCCTCAGCGAAATGGCAGCTGGTCTGCAGTGTATTAGTTTGCCAACCTAAGGTCTCTGCAATAGTCTGCATTGACTTGTAGGCAGTGGAAACTTGTCTGGTCCCTGGAATTGAAAGCTTCACAAGAAAAATGATGTTTGTTGCTCTGGTCCCTTGAATTTGTGTGATTGGGCCTATTGTGTACTTTTGTATCCACATCTATAATGTACTGTGCTATACTGTGCTACTCTAATGCAAGACTTGCAAAGTAGAGGATTTCAAAGATCTGTACCATGGATGTACAATGACCGTTCCTGTCTGCTCTGAATGCATTTGAAACGAAAATGCATGTTTGATGGAACAGGGCAATTCAGGAGTTGGGGCATGAAATCATCGTGTCCAATTGGCCCAATTTGGTTTTGCAGTGGAAGGGGCCGAACAGGTACATGTTGAAAGAAGTAGCGCAAACTCTGAAATTGACCAATTTGGTGAGAACCCGCGTAGTCAGATTCAGAACATCAAAACTTCGCGCTTGGGCCGTTCCTTCAGAGGTGCAGCTGGAGCTTAATTTGACCATCCCTGAGCGACTCTGGTCGAGGCACAGCTGCTTTTGGGCCTTCTCTGCATACCTCGGTACAGTATCAAGACGTCAAGACGTCAAGACGTCAAGACGTATCAAGACGTATCAAGACGTATCAAGACGTATCAAGACGTATCAAGACGTACCAGGATATCAAGTGACTTTGTGTTCTCAGCATTACTTCCCAGTCCTTGAGATGCTTTTGAGTCAACAAAGCCGGTGAGGGAATGAGTCGAGGGAATAGTTACTTTCCAGTCAAAAATATACACAGAGTATTGTTGTACTACAAAACAGGGACCTCCACGAATTGAAGGGAGTTGGTGAATGTTGATGTGTCGTGGGCACCAGAGTGTCTTGAGGTGTGGCCTTTCGAACATATTCAGTGCAGCTAAATCGCCGGCTCTTCTGCACATTGCAAGGTGGAGTCCCCTTGTAGCCTGCGTCTTTCCAACATTCTTCACACCCTTCTGCAAAGCCCTGCAGTGTGCGGGAAGACTTGTTGCTACTCCTGACTTTCTGCCTAAACTATCCGAAGCTATCAAATCAAATCTGATTAAATCATCTGCCAGCACAGGTCTGCCAGCACAGGTCTGCCAGCACAGGATTCCCAGCATTGCTTTAGCTCCCAATTCCGGCTGCAACAAATCCATAAATGTGCAGCTGTGACACCCCTCCAGGAAGCAGAATGGTTTGAATTGGACAGCCACCTGGGCACTCCCTCCGAATGTCACGATTGTGCAGGAAAAAAGAAAACAAGCAGCGAAGTAATCCTCAGCAGTTCTACTCCAAGACACAGTCCATACATCTCACTATCTTTGGTGCGGTCTTTTTCTTGGGCCTTCTTGCCTGGACTGATCTGGCTGTGAAAATCTGTGACGATCAGTGACAGTCCATGACGATCTGTGACAATCTGCAGCGCCACTCCAGCTGCAGATCTAAGTATTCTAAGATATTCTAAGTCACTCTGGCATTGTTCGGATTCGTCGCAGGTGCAGCATCTGCGGGTGCAGCCCCAGCAGGCGCAGGCGCCGGCGCCGCGGGTGCCTTACCCTCTGCCATGGAGGCAAACGACTCCCATGGCACTTCACCGGATCAAAGTCCACGTCCACAGCACAACCATCTCCCCCTAAACATATGCCTCTTGTCCATGAAAGATCATGAAAACCCAAGTGGACACCCAAGATTGGATAGAAGATGAAGGGGCCACGCAGGCCCACACAGGGGTACTATGTCCGAAGCCTACGTCTGTAACCACGTGTTTCAGAACTGCTGCGTGTTGGTTCTACGAATGATTGTGCAGTCCCTGTCTCGAGACATCAGCGTTCAGCTCAGAGAACCATTGACATCTACACAAAAGGAAGCTCAGAGATAGAAGTGTTATGAAGTGTTAGTGACTGTTAGTGACTGTTAGTGTTGATATACGCGAATGAGCTGGTTCAGACAGCCTCATTCCACCTGTCAATGCATAATGAAGGTCTTGCAAGAGCAGCTGGGTTCGTCACGGCGTGCGAGCACCCTTGGAACCTTCAAGGGGGCAAAGCAAAGGCTTTTGCACTTGCTGAAACCGCAGAACAAAAATAACAAAACACAAAAAACACACTCAGTCCAGCATGAACTTGACTATGTAGTAACTATGTAGGACTTCAAGTGAGGCATTGCGAATCCCGGAGCAGCACCAAGGTTGGAGAGTCAAAGACATCCATGTGACGTGTGAGTGCTCATTTTTGTATCACATATCACTATCATCATTTTGTTATTGTATATACAGTAGCAGAATTCGAAGACGCAGTGGTTACTGGCAGTCGCGCAGCTTCTGCTCCCGGAACACTGTTCTTCACTTTATCCTAGACCTGCAACAAAGGAACTTAATGGATCTTAATGGGTAGGACATGCTAAAGAAAGCCACGGTTTTCCATAGCATCGTTTGGGCTATCGGCTGACATGTCGCCTCAGGCCCTGACCCAGCCAAAGTGTCGGAGCACCAGGGGCTGATACCTGTTCCTGGCACACAGCTGTCGCAACACCCAACGAATATCATCGAATATCTTTACTTTAGAAGAGTCTTTTAATAGTGGTTGCGGCTCCACGGAACGTGGCACTCAATATCTTTAGTTTGTTTACATTGTCAAAGTCGAACAGAATCAATTGTTGTCCATTTGGGATCATGTTTGTGTTTTCCGATGAGGGTGGACAGAGACGGACAGAGTAATTTGCACCGTATCTCATGCAACTGTTCCGGTGTAAATCAAACAGAAGTCGTTGATTCAACAGTCAAAAATGCGTCTCTTTCCAAAGAAACAAAAACGCTCAGGTTCTCAAGCGTGAAAACATCGGATTTCCGACACCAACTTCTAACATCAACATCTTTGTCGATCCTTCGTCGATCCTTCGTCAACTTCATGGCCAGGCCTCCAAGAGTTCCGCAAAGTTTGCAGATGATCGGTTGCAGTCCTCTATGTCTTCAAAGAGGGCCTGCACCCAAAAATGCTTCCTGTGGACTGCTCAACTCTGCTTCGCTACTGTACTTGCGCCTCAAAGTGCTGGTAAGAACAATATCCTGAGAAGGGCGCAAGTTGGGATCTTAACAATGCAGCAAATTGCCATGGGTCGTCCACCTGTTTGCATTCGGAACCAGCATGTGGATACAGTCGTCGACTTCGATTCGCTTTTCCAAAACTTGGTTCTGCACCCCACCATTCTTCTTTCAAGTACGGGATGGAGGCAGCTTCCTCCAGCCCGAAGTGTCGCAAACTCAATTGCTAACCAATGTCACCATGGGATATACATGAGCACACGGATGTGTATGCGTAAGCACACAAAAGCTTCTGTACGAATCGCTTATATTACTTTTGCATCTGTGCATCTGAACTGTGCCTTTCTAGGAGAAAAACGAGAAAAATGCGCCTTGCCAGCAAGCCAGGAACAAAATTCCCCTAAGGGAATATCATCAAGTCGCTCGCATTGCCCCTTGGCAGAGCCAGGCAAGCTTGGGTCTGGCAGCTAGTCTCCACGTGGCACTGCAAGAAGTTTTCCGGTGCTATTGACACAAGGTGACTTGAGCAAATGGCCTCCCACAGCGTTTGATTGACCTTGCCCGCGCAACTCAGCTATGAAAACAACTGTGGAACTTCTTGGAATAGAAGCAAAAAAAACTCGTACCATATCGTACCGTCTTTTGAATGGTTTTCCTTTATTGTCAATTTTGAGATGGTGCTTTCAGTGAAGCTCAGCAAGCCATCTGAAGCTATTTGAAGCCATTTGCTTGTAGATTTGCCCCAAGGATCCTGACTGGCTTTCGGCCAAAGCGCAATGGAATTTGACGTTGCCCGTGCCTTTAAAACCAGCTCAAGCATCGTCAACGTCGCCTTTGGAATACCTTTATCACTTGTGACTGGTAAAACTGTGGTCTTGTGTTCATGCCTGCACTCCAAAAAACAGAGCCTTGACTTCTATCAACGTGCATCTTATCTGTTTATCCTTTGCATATCTTAGCATTCTCAACTGACATCCATCAACTGATTCTCGGCTGGTGCTTAGCATGGCACTAAGGCATTGGCTCTCTTTGCAACACCTGCAAGCCATTGCGCACTGATGAATGCTTGCTTGGCATTGTTTCTAGTCCCAGCTTTGGCAGAAGGGTTCGTTGGAGAGCTGATGCAACATTAAAAGGTAAAAAGACACAAATGATGAAACTACACCTTGGGTGTAAGCATTCCGAATGACGTTTTCCAGCGATGAAATAACATCAAAATTGATCAAATCTATCAAGTTCGTCTTTCCACCAGAGTTGCTCATACAGCATGTTCGCCACAGAACCACCGCAGGGACCCGACGTCTCATTCCAAAAGCTGCACCTCGAGATCAGCCCACTGCAGTGCTGGCCACCGGCAGCGCCTTCATGCAGAGTATTGGGCACATCAGGTGTCCCGCTGTTGGGTTTCCCTTGATCATCACCTGTGGAATGAAGATACAATAGAGAACCGTAGCCGCCCTAGCAACGAAACCAATTTTCTTTGGAACCACTGAATGAAGACCGTGTGTAACTGCCTGCAATCTAAGCTACTATTTCAAACCCCAGTTTGCAACCCCATGCCAAATGCTAGATATGCCAGGCAGTATGAAATTCAAACGTTCGAAATCTGCAAGTGTCCAAGTTTCTTGATGGCAGCAAGCACATTTTTGCATGCTCCTTCAGCATGTACAGCGGTCCTGACCGCCACACCGCTCAGTTCGATGTGATTTGCTGCACTGTTGGTCATTGTATTGTCATTATACAACAGGCCAATTTCGATATGGGCAGTATCAACGTGATCATATTTGAGGAACGCCCTCGCTGTGTTCAATCACACTGGGCTCGCTTTGGCTAGAAACTGTCCACCTGTATCAGTTCCCGAGTGATCTGACCTGTTGTACGGGGAATATGTATCCCAAACTCAAAGTCTGGGCGAGAATATTGCAAATGCCAGCAATCTAAACAATGAAAGGCCAAGCGGTAAAATAAACCATGTGGCATTTGCATGCGCTTGCTGCCAAGTTTTATCAAGTTTGATTCAAGTGGCAGAGAAGACTGCCTAACACCTCCAATCTCAAGGGAAGCGGCCAAATAAAAGGCCAGCCTCTGAGGAGTGAAACTTGCGCCCGTCATTTGCCCAATCCAATCGGCTTATCCAGGGCTCAGAACTTCACCTTAAACGACACCCGCCAAGCGCAACGCTGCACCTCAGAACTTCACCGTCACAGGATGTCACAGGCACACCCGGGCACACCAATTGTCACCAAAAAAGATCCAAAAGAAGCACAAAGCCATCACGAAGCCATCACGAAGCCCCAGAATATCACAAAGCCACAAGCCATCGGGGTGCTTCTCTTTGAGGCCATTGGGGTATACTATGGAAATCTATGGAATACTATCTGGAATACTCATACGCAGAACTGCTTAGATCGGGCGCGCCTGCGTTCATTTTTGTGATCAAGGTGTAAAGCTCTGGATTCACCTGCCGCTACGACCAACAGGGAAAGGTGGAGCAGGGTACTGCCGGAGTCCGCACAGGAAATCCTCAGGACTATTGATCGGTATTGGGTGTTCCAACATGTTCAAACTGATCCCATGTTGTTATCATGTTGTTCCTATAGTATCCCGGTATCCCTCCCTTCACCGCAAAAAAAAACGCTGTGCTACACAATGCTTTCATTGTGTCGCGGCTCCTGATCCATGGCATCCGTGGGTTGATGGTAGTGTGGATAGGACTCATCATCGCCATGGATGGAAAGCACCTCTGAGGTTCTGCTGGACTGATCTGGTCCAGTCCCCATGGTCCGGTCTGCTGTGTCTCTGTATGTCTCTGTCTGCTCATCTTGCTCCGGGCTTCTATGGTCGGATCTTCTGCCAAGAAACGCTTTGGATCTTCTGCTCTAAGAAACTCATATGGTCAGAGCCGAAGGGATTGTTGCTGTGCCTCGGTTGCTTTCTTGAGACCGTACATGTTGACAATTTTTAAGGTAGTATGTTCAGCTGTGTACATAAACCAACTGCCCTCCAAAGTTTCAAACTCTCCAGAAACTACAATGAAAACATTCACGCTTGGGTGAGATCCGACCACGAACACAAGCATTGCAAAAATGTGATCTTCAGCATTCTTCAGCTGTGGTGCGTTACTTTCAGTTTGTCACCGTTGTGGGTTTTGCTTGCCCCGGCCAAATGCTTTAGCACTTTCTTCGCCCAGTCATAGGACCTTACTGTCTCAGGTCTCGCCACAAAAGGTTTTTCTTGACATCTGTCTGCTTTCAGAACTTCAAGTTTGTTGAAGCACGGAGGAACTAGTCTTTTAGTTAAGCGTACGAACAATTGCTTAGTTCCAACTCCAATACATGAGCGTACGGCCACCCTCCAATACATCCGCTTGCGGCCACTCCAATACATCAGCTTATGGCCAATGTCACCTGTTTCTGGTGGGCTCAGAACAAGTCCACTAGAGTCGTCCGTAACTCTGCAGTCGACTCGTATAAATAAACTTCTGAAAAGAACGCTGCAGCAATCACGGGCAAAAGAAATGAAGCCGCCGCAGTCTTTGCAACGAAGTGACTCCAAATTGACCACAGGGCCTCAAGGGATGTCTTTGGCTGCACTTAGGAGGTTACCATAGGTTACCCACATCTCCGTGTGTTTTGCCAAAACCAAAAAGGCAATGTCGCAATGAGTTATTCTGGGGTGAAACGAGTGCATAGAGCTATCTCCAAACCAAGCAATATGATTCTTGTGCGTTTTCTTTCTGCTTACCCACAAAATGAGGAAAGCGACGTGCAATGACGTGCATCAGTTTTCATGTCGCCTTAAAGCCGTAAAGCACTACTTTGAGCCCAAGGTGCTATCCGTCGAGGGACTTCGCCAAGCAATCTCATCCATCACCAAAGCCTGCGCAAGTGAATCAACCCGCTGAGAGCAGAATTGTCTGAGCTGCATCACTGCATCGTCATACATCGTCATGCATCGTCCGTATCCAAACTACTGGTGATGGCATGGTCAAAATTGTCGTTCCAGCGATCCAATTGCAATCACTGACAGCTACAGTAGTGTCGGCAGGGATATTCACACCTCGTGCTCCTCAGCTGCCCGTCTTTGACGTTTCCTCCTCATGAAAGAATTGTCCTGGAGGTGGGTTGGGGCAGTGACAAGTTGACACCACTTCGTGTAGCTTCATTCGATCCAAATGCGAATGCAAATAACACATGAAAGGAAAACCATCAACTGAGTATTGCCTGCAGAATCGCGCCGCCATTGTTTGTCCCACACATCCTGAGGCAGCACTGTATGTATATTATATATATATATATATATTATATTATATAGTGCTCCGGGTGAGCACTTGCAAAAGATATGAAAAATAAAGTTATGCTCAAATGCCTGGCCTTGACATCAGCTTGGCCGCAGTCTTGTCGTGGTCCTCAAAGTGTATCGTGCAATTCCGTGCATTTCTCATCACTGTATAAAGTTCAAGGAAACTGATGAAACTGCCAGGTGGATCGAAATAATGATACATTATGATACATTAATGTAAGAAATCTGTTCCAGAAACTCAGGAATTCTCGCTCGTTCAACTCTCCATGTCCGTGCCATGGTCTCCTCTACAAGGCTGGAGCCGCTGGAACTGCTGTCAGATGCGAGGCGAGAAGCAAATTCCTGCCGAGTCCACAGTGGTCACTGTAGGACCACTGTAGGACCACTGTAGGAGCCGTATGGAGCCGTAGCTACAACGCGGAAGACTCGGAGTTTCAGAATGTTTCAGAGACTGTCAAGTTAAGTCGATGTCTACCCAAAGAGCGTGAGGCGTCACATGGATTGGTCACGCAGTCTGTGAATTTTCAAAGTGAAAGGTACTGTACCTCATGCGACCTCAAGGAGAGACAAGTCTCAGTCGGAGACAAACGTGTTTCAGCAAGGTACAATCAGTACAATCTGTCACGAAATTTGGAACAAATCCATCGGCTCTCGCACCTTTGATCCGCGCAGACCAGGCTCTTCCGCAGCGAAGCAGGCAAAAACCAAAGTCTTTTTGGGTTTCACCTGGCTCAGCTGAGCAAGCTTTACCCGTCATTTGCTGCCTCTACATCTCGTTCATTCGTTTTCTACTCTGCAAGGGTAATTCTCTATGATTCAGGCGAATAGACAATCCACCAGATCCTTCCCATCCTGAATCACCATGCTACCTGTCTATTTCTCACCCTTTTCGGGGCTTTTCAGGTTGCATCAAGTCGGCAGGCAATCTCCGGAAGCCAAACCAAGCAGTACATTGCAATACCCATGGGGTCCATGCGACAAAATGAACCAGGCACATCAGGGCACCATCCCAATCCTAGCTGCAGGCCGTGCTCAAGCATCCACATTTTTTCGCCCAACCACTTCTGCTTCAAAGGTCGGGGGAAGATAAGAGTTCGTTCTGAACCAGTGAGGCCGCATAAGGATTCATGCGGGTCATGCTCGCTTTAGGCAATCTCACCTCTCTCGCTTGCATCCTCCTGAGTAGTCAAAGCTCAGTTCTTGACCATTCAATACCGTCAATCAGCATCGTAGAAAGATCTATCTATATTACTAGACTATACTAACTAGTAGACTATACTCGTCAATGGTGAGTCTCTGTTGAGGAATTTTGATGTGACAGTGGTCACTATGATGGGATTTTCTTTGTAATAATCCAACGCCGGTGACGATCATGGCATGATGAAATGATGAGACGATGATACTGCAAAGGTGCAAAGGTGCAAAGGTGCAAGTGGAAAGATCATCGAAACATGTCCATTTTCACGTCCTCATGGTCAGAACCTCCGGCTCTCCCAGCACAGCCAAGTTCAACCAAGTGACGTCGCTAATGATGCCAGCATCTCGAGCTTCTTTGGCGAGTTTAGGTGGTAGAATGCCTCCTGTGAAATCGATCCATGGATTCCCGTTCTAAAACGAAGTGATAGGCCACAGACCGTCACGGACCGTCACGGACCGTCACGGACCGTCACGGACCCTGCACCCGACTGCACCCCAACGGCAGGCCTTGCCGCGCTTCTTCGACTCGGGCGACCAACTCAGCGAGTTTCATGAAGGATGGGAAGCCCGGCGACTCCTCAGATCCCGTCAATCTGACCCTCAGCGCTGATCGCTTCATTCAAAATGCTTCTGTTCTCCAAACGGATACCTATTTGACACGAGGTACAACTCAGCACGACTCAGTACTAAGTAATCGTCAGCAACCCTTTGAACTCTATTTAGAACAAGGCTCCACGACCTTCAACGTGCGGATCTCTTTGAGCGGAACATCTGTGTAGACGAATGGGTCAATATCAGAAACATTGTCACCATGCCTTGACTCACAAACACCAAAATGTCTCGTCAAATCAGCAAATCATGCCACAGTAAGCCGGCTCAAGGGGGTGGGCTAAACTCACGACTGATTCATACCAACTTACCTGCAAGACTTGGAAACAGTCATCCCACCACATCCCACCATCATCAAATAAGATATATCTCCATATATATATAAAGGTTTCGGCCCAGATTACCCCCCGCTGCTCGTTCAAGGGTTTTCTGGCTGCAATAACCTGAGCGGGCGCTGTGTGCGCTTTGTGCCCGCGGGATCTCACCTTCATTGGTTACAGGTGGGACCTTGGAAACTCAGTTGCCGCTGGATCCAATTGATTAGGGTTGATTTTCCCCTATTTCTTCGTGCATCTCGCTGACATCAACTGTTTTTTCCTGTGGTGTTTTTTCCACAGATCTGGCTCTGCGGTGGCCTACAACCGGTCCAACTAACTTCATTCTCTTTTCTGGCTCTGCGGTGGCCGACAACCGGAATTAGTGGGTGAATTGCTGGCTCTGCGGTGGCCGACAACCGGAATTTGCTGGATCAATTTGTGGATATTACAATTTTTGCAATCTTTACACTTAACTGCTTTGCGCTGGTGTGAATTTTGTGGACAATCTTTTTGTGAACTGTACCGTGAGGAGGTTCACTTATTTGTAATTCAAATTTCCTTTGTTTTCGATACTGAACTGGCTTGCCCTGGTATCATTTTACATTGGCATTTTCTCGAGATTTATGTGCTCATTTTTGTTGGTGTTGCTGTTATTTGTGGTGACATTTTCCACTTTGCAAGATTCCGTTTCTCACTGGTACCCAGAAGAGAAAACAGCGGCGCCAAAGAGCAGCCGCCAGATCTGCTTGGTTCTATCACCGTGTGGGACAGGTGCCATTGACCAAACAAGCACTTCTGAGAATCAAGCGGATCCTTGCTGGACATCATTCCAAAGACAAGCAATTCCTTCGAATCATTCAAAAGCACATTACAATGGAGTCCCCGGAACTTTTCCCTTGGAAGTGTACGCAGTGTCAGCGCATCAACAAAAAAGTGGCGACCCACTGCGTTGTATGCAAGGTGCATTGGAGCACTGGAGTCAGACACCAGACAGAACCCAAACAGCAGACGTACAAGGCTACAGCTTACCGAGATGCGTGGCCACAGACACGTCGCTTCGACTGGGAACAATGGGAAGAGTGGGAGGCGGACGATCGCTCATGGAATTGGCAGATGCCGATCGACCGATCTCAAAGCAGATCTCATTCACAGAGCACACATCATTCTCAAAGCCCAAGAGGTCGCAAAGGCAAAGGTCATGGCAAGACCAAGAAGAAAGGCAAAGCCAAGACAACAGAGGCTTTGCAGTCAGAATCGAAAGGAGGACAGAATGTGTCACCTTTTGCACCATTAGTATCAGAGATGCCAACGTGGACGAATGCAGAAGCCTCAGTTGGCAGCAATACGCCCTTCGCCACCACGACCTTCAATCCTACTACTGCGGAGCAGCTGGCACAGAAAAAAGAATGTGTGGCTGCGTTACGCGCAGCATATCCGGATGGCAGCACGATCCCAGCCGAGACAAAAGATCTCATCGACAAGATGGACAAGGACATCGAAAAGATAGAGAAGGACAACAACAAGTTTGTCACCAAGAATATTCATTCAGCCACGAAGTCCCTCGGCAAGGCGCAGAAAGCCTTGACGGAAACTATGGAAGCAAGGAAATCGCACCGTGCGCGGTGGATCAAGCACATTACCGAGGCAGTGACGACCTGGCAGAATCAATTGAAAGAATATCAGAAGCAGCAAGAATCTTTTCAAGATGTGATCATGAAGGCAAAAGCCGACATCGAAATGGCGAGATCGGCCATCCAGACGCTATCCTCAACTGCATCCCAAGCCATGCTGGCAGCCATGCCCCAGATCCACCCAGTGACTGCAGAGCAGGACGATGGTACCGCAGAGGCAGACAAGGAGGAGGAAAAGCTGCAAGGACAGCTTCATGCAGTCCTCCAGGATTGTGCAGCAGCCTTAGGCAAGGAAAGCACAACAGCCCTCGAAGTGGAAGATCTGACAATGGAAGATGCAGAGCGAGAAAAGAAAAGGCAAAGATCCATGGAGCCCTTTGGTGGATCTTCCAAATCATGAGTTTGGGCGGTGTACATACAGTGCAGAGCCATGTTGTACATAGCGCCAAGATCCCGTTCGAAGTTGCTGATGCCTATGTACTGCCGCCAACAGTATGTGCAGCATGCAATTTCCAACTTTCTGATTGCGATTTCAACAGATTTTCTCATTGGCGACATTCTATCCAAGATGAAGCAAACTATCTCAATCCTTTTGATGCTGTTCTCTCTGCTTGGAAATTGGATTGGAGTATCATTTGTGATCAGTTTGACGCTTACAATGTTTGCATTCAAAGTATTGATCTGGAAGATCATACTGCCACATCATCTTTGACATCGAGCTTTCAGTACCCCAACAAGATTGACCTTACTCCAGTGTTTGAGCTCCGTACATCGTGTCAGCCCCACAGGAGTAATCTTACCTACATCAGAACTGACCAAAACAGACGTCCACGTCAGGTTAAACATGTCAGTTTTCATGAAACCACTTTGATACACATTGGGCTAGAGGACACTCTCCAAATGCACACATCAGTCATGGACACATTTGAGTTGGCTACCTGGTCGGATAAGCCATGGGTGAAAAAACCTTCCAAAAAAGACAGAGACAAGCATCCGAAATCTTCAGATCGACAGTGTCGATTGAAGCTCTGTCCAAGTTCTGTTCCTTTGGTTTCGTTGCGCACCACTGATGCTTTTTACAATGTACCATCCTCATGGACCAATGGTGATAATGATGCACCGGCTGAGAATGTCGAAGATCCTGAAGACGCGAATCATTTTTTGCATGAGGCTCCAGAATCGGTTCAAAACCTCTTCGATGCTCTGCAAGCCGCAGGTGTCGTGGAAGGGCCTCGCATACATGACAGCGTTTTCCTTCGTACATGGTTTGTGCACCACATCCATGCGCCACAGTGCTTCCATTATCGTGTGGTTGAAATTAATGGTCACTGGCGGTTATGGTATCAGGACATCATTGATGCATGGAGAGATAGAATTCAGCCGAATCACCAAGTCATTTTTGACGTTGTGCATCCAGAGCCACCACGCACTGCTGACAATTATGACTTTCTCTTTGATCTGATAGTTTCACAAGGGATAGCTGCTCCACGACGAGCGGGTCTTATAACTGTTCTACAAAGAGATGATTCTGCTGACAAGGCATCATATGCTGTTGCTGCTTCCATGTCAGAACATACCAGTGGACATCAAATCGTTCAGTGTGCGGAATATCTACATGGTTGCAACATTTTTTCATGCACCATACGACATGGACATGTTCGTATTCCCTTCACGATGGAACCAATTCATGAAATGCAGGATGGCGATTCTTTCACAATTGGGGTCGCAAGTAGAGCCACCAGCTCCGATGAGCCACGACAGTGCCTGGTGACAGTCTCACAAAGCGAGCAAGTACATGACTTTGATCCACCAAATGATGATGATGAATCAAATGTGCCGTCACCTAGTTTAGCAACAAGCAGACCTTCTGGTGATATCTATAGTGGTGTGCACATCCATCGACTTGGTCATCAACAAAGGCATGGGAGAATTCGTTGGGACACCATTGATCATGTCTTAACAGATGTGGGTCGCCTTCTGAACCTGCCGATCGATGATCTTGTTGCTTTTCATCATTTGCAAGTTAATCCGGTTGATCAAACTGCAGCGGAAGAATCAATCATTTTGCAGCATGTGCTTGATGTCCCTGCGGGGTCGACTGAAAGACTTGTGTTGATTGATATTGAAATGCACTTGCCGATACACCCTGGTACTATGCCACGTGCACCACCGGTCCATAGGCAGGTCCACAAGGTAGTACCTACAATTGTCAGACAACATGTGCTCATGATTTCCCACACGGCAGGCTATTGTAGCTGGCACCCACGGGATTGCATTGTTTTTCACAATCAGCAGGTTTGGATCCAACAAGACATTGCACCACGCCAAATTGAACATGGTGCATACTTCCGTGTCATTGTCCCACCACCTATTGATCCTGCTTGGGATATTGCACATGCCCTTAGGATCTTCCAGGAGGCATATGACCTGTTTGAGCCACCTGCTGCGAACAGAATTGCGGTTGACATCCTGCAGACACAATATGGACCTCAACAACCAGCTGTCCGTGATGGTAACCATGATGCAGATGATTTCCATGCGATGCAGTACAATCTGGACCTCTTGCCTTTGCATGATCCCCCGTCCAACTCCAGCAGTATCCAGTCTGACGCTGTCGTTCCGGAAGATTGGATCATTGACCTACAGAGAGTCGTACAACAACATGTGAACGCTTGTGACAGTCCAATACCCGAAGAAGTCAGGTTTTCGGTTCTGACTTGGCTGTTAGATCACAAATCACAGCGTCTCTGTCGAGGTCCGAAATTGGTGTTCCTTGGGGGAAGTCCAGAGGAATGGACTGATGACGTCATTTGGCCGTGGAGAAATTTGATCATCCCTGATGAACCGGTCATGATTGACTTGGTTTTGCCGACACCACCGACGTCTGACATTGAGGACCATTTAGCACATCTACTCTTGACGCAGAGGTCGCTGCAGGAATCGTCTGTTTTAATCTCTTTGGACTTTAAAGGTGTTGCCCCACCGGACGTATTCATCCGTGTGGCAACTGTTCTGCCTAGAGATTGCACTTCCAGAGACGTTTCACAGGCGACACCGCTTTTGGCCATGTATTCCAGAAACCGAATCACTTGGGAGCTTCCTAGTCTCTCATCTGATGAACAAAGATTCCGTACTCGGCCTGGTCAGTGTATCAAAATCATCATTCATCCAGAGACGGAATTTCGATCTGAAGCCACTGACAGTAGTGATGATCACCATAATCTCCTCCAGTACAGTTCAATGGTTTCCCAATTCCGAATTGAATCAAGATATCCGACATTTGTACCGCATGACACATGCAAAGGTGCGGATCTCCAGGATGACATTGACGTTCCAATTACGTCCAGTCGCCCAACCACACGACTTGGTAGGAGACCTCGTCCATTACATGATGGAACTGAACAATGGTTTTGGGACCTTGGTTCGATTTTCTCTGCCCAAGCTGTTCAAGAAGTGCTTGATGGGGATTCATATCTTTATGTACAAACATGGTTTGTGGATCATCACAACTACCCGCATTGCCGGCTGCCCAGACCTCTCAGATTGGATCAGTGCGCAGTTGTGTGGCTTGAAGAATTTCGATATCTGTGGCGTGATTTGCTGGACCCGACTGTTCCTTTCTCAGTTGTTGTCATCAGCCCCAGACCACCGCAGAGTCGTTACCAAGACTACAATTGCCATGTTCTTCTTGAACAGAACAGACCACAAGGAAGAGCTGCGGGAGTCTTAACTGCCATGAGTCGGGAACCACAGGGTTTGGAAGTCATTCAAGGGGCATATAGTGTCCCACGTTTTGTCAGATTGGATGATCTCATCGAGACCATGAACATCCAACCACAATGTGAGGGCCGACGTTGTACTGCCTTTCACCAGCAAGAACCAATTCATTTGGTCCAGGCCACTGAACTGACGTCAGGTTTTAGCATCCGAGTTCAAATCACCACTGCCATGACCCAATTTCCGATCCTACCACAATCACATAGTGGTGAATTTGATGCATCCGTTTTCATGCAAAGACCGGCATCTGCAGCACCACAAGAAGTTGGAGATGATCCACAGCAACCGGCAACGACGCCCGCATGTCCAACTTTCCAGTTTGATCCTGATGCTGCCGCTTTTGTGCCAGGAGGTTCGGATCTTGCAAGTATGAATGAGTTCATCCAAGACCTACACGAAATTTGGTCGAGGGCAGCATTTTCATGGGAACAAGAATCACCTACAGCGGATTTCATTTCCTGGTTTGTGGACCATCGCACATGGCTTCCAAGATGCCAGGCGAGCAGACGAGTAACCCTTTCAAGTAATTTTGCTGATTGGGAAGCCCGCATTCTTGCGGTTTGGCATGATGTTGTTGATCACAGCCAGTCTCATGAAATGTTTGTCATCATTCCACCGAACATGGAACAAACAATTGCTGGCCACATCTTGGTTGTACAAGCGCCACATGCTTCGTGGGTATCTGGATTGGTCACTGTCTTTGACAACTTCATTGGAAGACGATCACAACACATGACCCGACTTGTGATCACCACCACTGAACACATCCATATAGAGCATGTTGTGAACAGTTGCGGGTATGATCTTGTACATGGTCAGATCAATCCTCAAGTTCCTTGCCAAGTATGGATTGATGGACATGAGCTTGTTGCTGGCCATCCGTGGCCGGGAAGATCGGGCCATGAAATTTCATTACAAGTCCAAAGGATTGTTGTGCCCCTTCCACCTGGACCTGCGCAGCCAAATCCCAATGAAGGTCTTGCATTGTTACAGACGTCCTTACAGCGTAAAAAGACCCTGAGTTTGGATGAGCTTATTCCGGAAGAACTTAGCAGCACAGACCATTGGATTCCATTTCAACTGTTACATTTGGACTTCATCCCTGAACTTCCTAGAGAGATTTTCTTGGAAGAAGATGCCACTGAACAGGAGGTTGAACAAGAATTGCAGAAGTTTGGACATCATAGACATGCCTATGCCATTGGTTCCACTGGGAAATTTGCCACTGTGCCGATCCATTGGCACACCAAGGATCATCATGCGATTTACTGGCAGACCAATGCGACCAATGCAGATGATGTTATATTGCATACAGAGACTGAACAAATGGATGACCTGTCTCACATGCGATTTCTACATTCATGTGGTTTCTTGAGGGCTGTCACAACTAGCATCCGAACACTCAGAGAAGGCCTAGTCCTTATCAGTTTCCATAACAATGAACCAGAGCTGGAAGGGCGCCAGAAGAAGTGTACAGACCCAACGCCATGGCCCCTGCCGCAGAGGTGTATCTCACCCCAATTGATGCTGGATTTCACCAAGGTAACAGAGTCCACGCCCACACAGTGCATGGATCTTGGGGTTGACTGGACGTACATTGAAGAACTTTTCCAATCAGCACCTGGTGTCCTTTGCCCATGGTATAGCCACCTTGATTTGCCGGAATTTGTTAAGCTTGGGATTCATTCTGCGACTACAATTGAAGGACAGAATCTGGACCCCACGGTATTTGATCGACTGATCATCTATACTGATGGATCGTCCAAGTCGTTTAATCGCAGGAAACCACCATTGTATGTTGCAGACACTGATCAACCGGATGCATGGGCTTTTGTTGTTTTGGGAGAAACGTATCCAAAACATGGTACTCCTGGCCGTATTTCTTTTATCGGCTGGCAAGCACAACAAATCATGTATGAAGATCAGAATCATGCTTTCACTGGAACGGATCAGATCGGTGCTGAGTTTGCGGAGCGAGAAGCAATGATTTTCGCTGGACTTTGGCGATTAGCTTTGAATTCCACCATCCCAACTGTCTTTCGGACGGACTCCAGCACGACCGCAGATCAATCCATGGGTAGAGCAGGTTTTGTGGCTGCACATCCCACTATTTCACTTTTGAGAGGAATATTCCAGGCGCTTTCTGCAGGGATGGCGAGCTCGGAGTTGGAAGTGTCACATGTGCGGGGTCATGCAGGTGACATCTGGAATGAACTGGCCGATCATCTTGCCAAAAGTGAAGCTGCTATTGGACACCGCCTGCATCGCCAGCCCATTAACATTTTGATCCTTAGACCGATTATTCCTTACCTTTGGATGTTCCTTGACCGTAATTCTGGATTGCCGTCATTGACACGCCAGGGGTTTGACATTAGACCACCTGATCTCCCATCAAAGACTGGACCCACTGTTGCCTCGATGGGGACACCAAGCGCAGCCTGTTGCCAAGAGGTTAGTCTTAGTATTGCCTCCTTGAATGTGGGCTCGCTGTTCCTTTCGCCAGATGGTTTCAGCGGTAAACTGACATATCTCAGGCAACAGATGCAAGCACACAGGATTCACATCCTGGGAGTCCAAGAAGCCAGAAGTCCACCAGGTTTGAGCACTGCTGATGACATCCTGAGAATCTCAGGTGGATCTGACAAACACAATCTGGGAGTGGAATTATGGATTTCCATGACAATGCCGTTGATGAGGAAGGATGGCAAACACAGCAGATTGTCCCGTTCAAATGTCCAACTGCTTCATCATGACCCACGCCGACTGATTGTCCGTGTCTCGCATGATTGCCTGAATTGTTTTCTTGTGGTTCTCCATGGACCTCAGAGTGGCAGACCTCATAAAGAACGGCAAACATGGTGGATTGAAACTCAATCCATAATTTCCACATTGTGCCAACAATTCCCATTATATGTCATGATCGATGCCAATGCGAAAACGGGACCGGTCCACCCACCGATTGTGATGGATAACGATGATGGCATTTCGGGGAACACGCCCTTTTTCCTTGAATTCCTTGAGCTGTTTGGACTCTGCTTGCCTTGCACCAGCTCTGTACATCAAGGAGAGACAACAACGTGGACATCACCCGATGGTCAAAGTGAACATCGTATTGATTTCATTGCGATTCCTCAAGCTCAATTGCCATCTTGCACATGGTCTGGCATTGTGCCTACCCTTGATCAAGGGAATGCACACAATGACCACACAGCCACAGCATTGCAGCTGAATTGGACAGTAGAGCTTCCCAAAAGACTCAAATCCACAGCCAATGTGCGCCATGATCGCACCAAAATCGCACATAAGAAGGGATTGCTTCATTTTCAGCATGTCAAAGCTTGTGACTGGCAATGCAACATTGAGACCCAAGTGCAAGAATTAAACTCGGCCATTCATACTGCTTTGACTGATGTTTGTCCAATTGACAAGACCACACCCAAGAAATCCTTCATTGATGCAGAGACTTGGGAATTACGTGCGAGCAAACTTCGTTTGAAACGTCGAATTTCCTTAGCTGGGAAGCAGGCGAGGTTGGATCTGATGGGTTTGTGGTTCAAGCAATGGAAGGGCGAAACCACTGTGCAAGAACACAACGAGTTTGTGCAACATCAGTGCACTGTTTCCTGCGTATTTCTGAAGTTGTCTTGCCAATATTGGTCTTGCACCCGACAATTGAAAAAGCAGTTGCAGACGCTCAAGAACAAGAACATGCAGAAGGTGATTGAGGAGGCAGGTTACAATGCCTCGGCTGGCACACTTTTGCATCTCATGAAACCTTTCTTAGGATCGACCAATCCCAAGAAGCAAAAAAGAGCGTGCCTACCGATTGTCAAGCAGGCCGATGGCCGAATCTGTGCAGACCCAGTAGAAGCCCAGAACAGATGGATTGAATTCTTTCGTGACATGGAAGGTGGCAGAAGAATGACTGACCTCCAGTACAGAGATCACTGGTTGCAAGGTCTTGATCATTTTATCCAGACAGAGGCCACCAATATTCCTATCCAAGACATGCCAACTTTGTGTGAACTCGAAACTGCTCTCCGTAGAGTTCAGATTGGAAAAGCTATTGGCATGGACCATGTTCCACCAGAAATCTGTCATTATTGCCCTGTGCAATTAGCGAGGCTCTGCTATCCCATCATGCTGAAGGCAGCCATCCACGGCCAAGAGGCAGCAGAGCACAAAGGAGGGAAGCTTGCCATTGCGTGGAAGCAGCGTGGAGATGTACGAGATTGTCAAACGCATAGGTCCCTTCTTGTTTCGAGCCATATTGGAAAAACCATTCACAGGGCACTGAGGCAGAAGTCACACCATTTGTATGACGCCTATATGCAAAGACAGCAACTTGGTGGAAAACAGAAAATGCCTGTTTCCATTCCGCTCCACATGACACGAGCATTTCTGCGATGGAAGGCCCGTATCTCGGCCTCGACTGCTGTAGTATTTCTTGACTTGACTGAAGCTTTCTATCGCACGCTTCGTCCCCTTGCTGTTGGAGGTGAGATGTCTGACCATAGCATTGGTCTCATGTGTGCACGTCTAGGCTTGGACTCTGATGCCATGCACGACTTGACACAACTCCTCCAGGAGCCAGCTGCCCTTGCTGAAGCACAAGCACCAGCGCATGTGCAGCGCATGTTGCAGGCCTTCCACCGTGATACGTGGTTCCAGATTGGAACCCAAACAGATCTTATACGGACGGAGATCGGTTCACGACCGGGAGATAGCTTTGCTGACGTTGTGTTTGGCCTGTTATGGGCAAAGCTCCTCAGAAAACTGGAGGCACATTTGGTCAGCTTTGGCATTTTGGAATTCATTCCTGACATTGAATTTCCGACACCATTTGCATCCGAGGACAGCACTGCATATCCGAAAATTCCATTGCTCGGTCCCACTTGGATGGACGATTTGAGTCTGCTCATCACTGCACCATGCAATGAAGCTCTGATCACAAAGACCAAACTTGCGGTTAGTCTTTTGCTCGATGCATGTCATGATTTTCAAATGGCCCCCAATCTCAAGAGAGGAAAAACTGAGATCATGCTCACCTTTCGTGGACCGCAGTCAAGAAAGTTCAGAAGGGAATACTATAGTTCTCAGCAAGGTTTGACAGTGATTTGTGAACGACAGACGGTACTTGTGCCAGTTGTCACGCGATATGTTCATCTTGGCGGCCTCATCCATCACAGGGATGTCAACCGCCAAGAAATCAGTCGTAGGCTGGCTATCGCACATCAAGCATTCCAACAGCACAAGCGCTTGCTCTATCGAAATAGACAGCTCTCTTGGATCACCCGATGTGATATGTTCAACACACTCATTCTGAGCAAATTTTTGTACGGATTAGAGAGCTGGACATTCACCACAAACCAAAGCCGCATGCAAATTCACAATGGCATCATGCGATTGTACAGGATGCTTCTTGGCCTGCCTCATGATGCACACATCACGGACACTGAAGTATTAGTCAAGACAGGCATGCCTGATCCAACAGAATTGTTGAGACGTGCCCGATTGCGTTACTTTGGTACATTACACAATTGTCGACACCATTCGCATTGGGGCCTGCTCCAAGAAGATGTTGTTTGGATTGACATGCTGAAGGATGATTTGCAATGGCTTTGGAGTCAAGTAGGTGCATCAATTGGTCTGGGAGATCCTGTGTCTCACTTTCCACAATGGCAAGACATTCTCATTCATCATGGTGTTTACTGGAAAAAGTTGATTCGCAAAGGCATTCACCATGCATGTTTGCAGCGTAAGAAAGAATATCATGCTGTTGAGTTGCATCAGAAAATCGGAATGCTTTTGCAACAAGAAGGCTGGGTAGATCGTATTCCCACACTGGACATACGCAGCGGACACCCCTCTGACCAAGCCTGCTATGGCTGCATGCAATGTGGCAGAAACTTTGCATCCCTTGCTGGCGAAAGCGTCCACATGTGCAGGACGCATGGTATTGTTGCGCACGACCGATTCCTTTTTGATGATACACACTGTCCTTGCTGTTTGAAAGAATTCCATTCATTTTCCAGAGTTTTGGCACATTTGCGGAATTCTTCGAGATGCAGAGACACGCTGAGGGCAAGACGCATCCACTGCACACCTGAACCTGGCCATGGTTCACATGTGGATCGGAGTAGGCTCGATGCAAATGATGGAGCCCTGCCGGCCTTGCAGGCCCAAGGGCCCCAGTTGCCTGCTCCTGCGCCACAACAATGGGAGGACTATGATATTCCTTTCTTGGAGGCACTCTACCTGCATCTAGTGGAGGATGAGACCCAGGGAGTCCTGGCTGTGTCATTAAGAAAGTTCATATGTACCTACCCCATCAGTTGGACGAAATGCAAGAGAACACTCGCTGCCTTTTGCCAGCAATTCACCGAGGCAGATGCTGACGTCCTCAACTGGTCTTACCCTGTAATCATTCACCACATGACGCTGATGCAACAGGATAAATACTGGGATTTTTTGCATGATGATAAAGCCTCAGTAACATGTCACAAGCCAGCGACTATTTGCGAATGGGAACAATGGTGCACTGGGCTTGCCAACCAGCCTCCATTGGAGTGGACACAATGGAATCCACAGCCGCAATCCCTCACCAAACAGAAAATCCTTCTTCATGCATTTGCCGGAAGGCGACGCAGAGGGGACATTGAGTGGTATCTTGACATGCTTTCGCAGAAGATGGAAGGATGCGTTCTTTTGACTGTTTCAATTGATATTATCATTGACTCTGTACACGGAGATATTGCGAAGGAGGAGACAAGAATGATGTGGCTGCACCATATCAGACAGGGACATGTGGCAGGATTTTTGGCTGGTCCACCATGCAACACATGGAGCCGAGTGAGAGCAGTTCAACTTGCTGGTAACAAAGGGCCCAGAGTCATTCGTACGCCTGATGCCCCTTGGGGCTTGAATGAGCTGCGTATTGGTGAATTGCACCAAGTGACGATTGGCACCATTTTGTTAGGATTTGCATTTGAATACATGCTTGCTATGGCAAGGTACAGTGGATCTGGCGTCCTGGAGCACCCCAAAGACAGCGAAGATGAGTCAACGGTCAGCATCTGGAGGTTACCGATCCTCCAATTGCTACTACAATTTCCTGGTATGAGATTGGTTAATTTGTCGCAAGGGCTCTTCGGAGCTCCCAGTCCGAAGCCTACGACTTTGCTTGTATTACGCTTGCCATCACTGGAACGGTCGTTACATGAAGGCATGCTGTGTACCAAGCTCCCCTTCGGCATTACCACAGGCAAAGATAGCCATGGAAACTTCAACACGGCTCCGTTGAAGGAGTACCCGCCAGGACTTTGTAGGGCCATTGCTCAAAGTTTTGGCACTGATTTCAGTGCGCATGGCACCAGTGCGGAGCACGGTGATTTACCAGACTTGCCATTGTCGTTTTTGGATATCTGCACGAAGATGCGGGACCACGACTTTGGCCACTTCATTGGTCTGGATTGACATTTAGAATTCAAAGTCGCAATGCCGCAACGACTCTCGTTACCATGGGCATGAGGAAAAAATATATATATATATAGGCCAATAAGCTATATACATATATAAGCTATACATAATGATATATATATATAAGCTATAATACATATATATATAATGATATGTGTATATATATACATTATACATTTATATACATATTATATATTGTATAATGCATATGTACATACAGCCGAGCTGCTGCACATGTAGGCAGACTCCAAATTCATCTGGCCTCGGGAATCATCAAATGCAAAGAGCTTCCAAGTAAAACGCATCAACATTGCCGAGTAGCATCAAGGCTAGGCTTAGCTGGCCAAATTTCTCCTGGAAACTTCATAGAAAATGATGAGGCTGCTGGAAAGCATGAGCTGAATTGAGGAATATTGAGGTTGGCAGAAAAAAAAAGTCTTTCAAACCTATTCAGAAATTCAGACAATCTTTTAAAAAAAATGAAACTCAGCAAAGCGTCCATGAGGGCCACGCACCAGTCGTAGTCTTCACCAAGATTTCTATCGCCGAACGGCAGCTGCAATGCCACTTGTCTGTGGTACAGCAAAGTAAATCCAAACCTCGGCTGCAACAGTGATAGAGCTGACATGGATTGACATAGGAAAGTATATACAGAATATGCTTATTATAAAATGTATTAAAATGTAATATACATGGTTGCCTTTAGGACTGGACTATAGGTCAAGAGAAAAAGACCTTGCAGAGCATGGCATGTACATGCTGTACTCAATGGCCTTCGATCACCTTGATGGAGTTTGCAGCACAACGCTCAGGGAGCAACGAATACAAGCCAATCTTCACTTCTGGTGTCTTCCTGCTCATGTGACCTAAGACCAGCATGTGGCTCACAAAGGATTCTCAGCGTTTGCCACACTGGGTGTTGCAACTGTTCTGGATCGAGTCCCACACGTCTTCGTCCTAATCGTGCTGCATCGCAGTAGCCGAATGCACCAACCTTCTGGCAGAAATCGACAAAACAGATTTAATTAAAAACTCTGGATCTTTGACTGGTTGACTCCCCCGAAGCATCTCTTTGCAGTTCAAATTTTAAAGGACTCAAGCGAAAGTCTTTCGAAGACAGAAATCATGGGGAATCTAATTAGCAAACAAGTACCTGGCACTGGACGGTTTTACACTGGCCTCGGCATTGCCAACATACCAGCTTGAAAGCTTCAAAGCTGTGGCACCCTCAAAGTATGACATCCTGCAAGCTGATCCAGACAGTGTGGTGCATCAAGATCGGTAAGAAGCTGCATATAGCATGTAAAGAATGGTGCGTGATGCACAGGGAGTGCGAAAGATCAAATCAGCAAAATCAGCAAAGGACGAGAACTTGCAGCCGTTTGAACTCTCGGAATTTCCGACAAAGCAACGAGCGGCAACGAGCCTGGTCGACATGAAGGCCAAATACCCTGGCGGATGCGTATGTCAGCGTGTCTAGCAATGGACGCTTTGCCGTGCTGTTGAAGCCGTAACTTGAGAGACTGGTGAACACGAGACCCATATGGACATATGGATCCATATGAGACTCCTGACCTGGGGCGTAAAGATCATCATCGTCAAAATGAGCAATCATATCTCCACTTGCTGCATGTATTCCAATGTTCCTGCGAGGCGCAGAGTTCAGCGACTTGGCGGAAAAAGGTGCAAAAAGGGTAAGAGCTAAGCTGCTAAACTAAAACCATCTAAAACCTCTATATGAGAAGTAAAAGAGGCAAGATGGGGCATAGAAAATTCATGAAAATTCATGAGGATGCAAGTGTAGTTCAGAATAGTTCAGAAAAGCATAGACAAGCCATTCTCACAAGGAGCCTCTTCACGCCGATAGACAGATCATCACCTGGTAGTCTCTGAAGACCTTGGAATTTCCGACAAAACAGGCATGACATCATGAAATTGGCAACAAGAGCAGTTGGAAAGCGTTTGCAGCACCTTTTTTTTTGCCTTCGTGGCATTTCTTGGCCAGCCATGAGGCTGTGACTTTGTCTAGGGCAAATGCTGGGAATGGGCCAGAGTATTTCCAAGTGCAAATCAGGTCCCATGCAATCAATTCAACCTCTCCCTCTTCAGCTTAGCAACTGATGACCTTCATGTTGCTGGTCCATGCAGCTTTGCCAGAAAGAAAAGAGCTTGGCTCATCTTCATAAGTCTCCACGACAATGAGCTCCTGCAAAGACACGTCAATGGCACATCCAAAGCACTTTGGCATTTTTGTACTTGTGGCCTTGTCATCCCACGCTTGGCAATGGAAGTTCCAGAACAAAAGCTCGTGGAATCGATGCCGATCCTGGGGAAGTTTGTCATGGATGCTCTGGTATCACTTGACAAATGCCAATGTTTCCAGTGTATTTACTGCGTAGTTACCTACTTTGGCCATCCAAGCTTCGCCAGTGGTCACAGTGACCACCGAAATTCTTCCAGGATGACTGTCCTTGCAATGAACGCAGTTCCCGTGTGAAATTCAAAGTCTGGGCTTTGGCTTTGTGGCTGCTACTCTCTACAAATGCAGAAAAGGTGCTCTGGCTCCAAAATGACTCCAGTTGCCTGCTGGTGCTTCTCTTGGATGAAATTCACCTCAGATCCAGTAATCTTGATTAGGGACCTGGGATAAAACTCTTCAGGAAAAACTTTTGATGAGGCATGATGTGACATTCTTTTGATTCAGGCAAGAAACCATCGGTGTAAAACCACAAATCACATTCTCGATCGTCCCAGCTAAGGGCTTCCTGAATAGAACGGAATCAGGATACGACTTGAATTGGTTGATTCTTGTCTGAAAACGATACGTTGAATGGCAACAACTTGTCCTCTGGAAGCTGGACGCAACGCTTCCTTCCGGTCTTTTTGCAAAAAAGGTCTGCCCGCTCTCGAAGGGACATCCTGAACATGAAGATATTTCAAGTCTCACGTCTTTCATATTCTTTCATCACTTGTCATCATGAGTGAGTGGAAGACATGTAGCAACCATGTAGAACTGCATATCACTGCATCACTACACCCTGGCAAAAGTCTTCCTTTCCAGCTGATCTAGCCTTCCGTTGTTTCTATAAAGCCGCGGAACGCGAAGGCTACAAATTGACAGGTTATTCTCCTGGATAAAAAGCTCTAAAAAATGACTCTGCTCCATGCACCATGCTTTTTGTCGCAAACCATCAATGCAAACTTTGAACGCATCAAGCCACAATGCTTTGTCTTTGCTAGTGGAAGTGCTTGCTTCATGCTTGCTTCATGCTTGCTTCATGCGTGCTATTTGAGCAAAATCAAGCAACTCGGGCGAGTGAGAATGCTGTGAATACCGTCACATGATCAGTCATGCCAGGACAAGCTCACTGAACGCCAGGTAGCGGCAAAGTCAATGGAACGACCTGATTGAATCCAGGGCAGCATGACACCAGCATTTGCAACCGCCCGAGCAATTTCAAGTACCTCAGCAGCTTGATACACTTAAAAGTTCTCGAGGTCTGACGGTCTGCACCAAACTATATATCTATATATCTCTTCCCGACATGTGGTACATATGGTCTGCTGCAGGCTGATTCAACAAGCATTGGGACAAAGCTCCGCTTTCTAAGTCTCTCTTGCTTCAAAGTTGATTCAGATTTGTCTACATCTATACCTGGATTTTGTACCGACAGGAATTTACGTGGAAATACACCGACACTTGTCATCACTTGTCTAAGTCCGAAATGCGCATTACTAGTACAAACAAAGTACGCAACAAGAGTGTCAAAATGTGTCAAACTGAAAAAAGAACCTGAAGATGGCTGAAGCCTCCGGCTGGGATTCTGACTGCAGAAGCTCCACTACCATTGTCTACTGCACCAGGAGCCGATCCCTGCAACACTGATACTAGGCGCAGTACAGCACAGCACGATAATATGGATAATCAAGATTAATCAAATTATCAATCAATGGTACCAAGATGCATAAAGGTACAAAGAATTCCTGAGCATAGGCGACCAAAACTGTCAAAGTGAAATCCAGCTGCGTGCGAACCTTCTACCCGATTCTACCCGTTCCACCCAATTTTCTACCCAATTCCCAGTGCCTCGAAGGGTCTGGAATCATAGTGACCTCCCACTGTGACAGTGCCGCTCTCCGTGCCCTCGATTTCACAAAAGCAAAGCAAAAGTCCGGAACGAATCTGCTCGACGCCATGGTCTCCATGCTACACAAATACGTGTGCAGACACATCTTACTATTGCAAGTATACCATGTATATTTGTATGCATATGGCATATACATATGCATCATACGCACCTGAATATGCATATGTATGAGAAAGAAAGACAGAAAGAAAGAAAGACAGAGAGAGAGAGGGAGAGTTGGTCCTTGTCCAGTGGCCGATGCAGGTGAACTGCTGACATCAAAGGATACAGAAGGAAAAAACAAAAAAAAAAACGTGACTGAAACTGCAAAACACAAATCAGAATCACCTTTATAACAAGGCCAAGTGACAGGCAAAAAAGCCACTACATCGGTCTGATCACTAAATTTCTCGTTGCATGTCTCGTAGCCCAAATCCTCTCAGAAATAATTCTGGCAAGGAAATGGACAAGACTGATCCCAAGACTGTTGCAATACAATACTGCATTGTCCTTGAACTTCTTCTGCAAATATTGCACGGTATTCGCTGTAGCTTTGGAGTTGGTGTAACTCCTTGCGACAGCAAGACATCTTCAATGCCAACGGCACACCCTCGAACAACAGTTGCGTTTGCCATCAGCTTGTTACGCCTTCGCGCAGTGCGTGGCAAAAATGAGTCAATCGGCAAAAAATCATTCATGAGCGATTCGTGAGGCAAAACGAAAGGGTCCGTGTCTGGTCCGTGCCATCTCCAAGCTGCACCAAATCCTGCAAATGGTGCAACAGGAATCAAGGCTTTTGCAAAACAGACCAAAACAGGTCAAGATACATGTGGCCTTTCTGAACATGTGTATCTTATATCATCTTATACTAGGGTCCAGTGACATGAGTACTTTGTGGTGATTTTCTCGACAAATGACATAAGTACTCGTCCATACGTTTTCGGTCCGGGAACCAGATGACATAGATATGTGTATTAATTTATATATATATAATGTATATAAATATATATATATATATATGTACTCTATCACATGTAGACTCTTCCTTCGGTATACTGTTGGATATTCACTTAAGTTTTGCGTGACAAAATATCTCAAACTCTGTCATGAAATCAGCTCAGTTCCATCTTGCCAATGCAGCCCACAGCTATACAGTCCGTCAACTGCTGCATCAAGGAGCTGCTGCTGATTGAGTCCACAACCTGAGAGTAGTATAGAGTAGTGATGAAGTCGCATGGAAGGTCAAAGGTCACCAAAAGTCACAGGAAGTCATCTGCAGTCATCTGAAGGCATCTTGCGTATAGTATTGCTTGTCGTTCCAAGCACACTAGCTTGTGCTGAATCAAAACATAAACTGCTGCAGACTCACAATCAGAAGCAGCTACATAAACAGGACACGGCTGGCCTTCTTCTCGAGCTGCGTCCCAGAGGTGCTAAGGCCAGACTCGTAGTCCTCTCGAAACTTCTCGACTCTGGACGTGGCTCGACTCGTCTCGATTTGGCTCGTCCCGTCTGGGAAATTTGGGAAATTGATGGAGATTGTCTCAGTGTATCTCAGATATTCTCAGATTGTGTTTTCTTACGCTTTCTGAACAGGGCCTCTCGGTTCAAGGCGTCTGTTCGAAAGCCCCACTTGCCATCACTTGCCAGGTCCCTCTGTCATGGGTCACACTGATCAAATATTTTCCACTAGGTAGAACAGACTGCAGCCCAAGTCCTGAGGCAGCTCAAAGTCCCTTGGTTTATGCAAACTTACAGTGACTACTCCAGGCCAAGCCTGCAGGTGATGCTGAAATTTGTTGAGTGCTTCAGTCAAAACCTTTAACAACCTGGACTATGTCATATTTTGTCACTACAGCATTATTAGGATCTATGAGGTGAGTGTTCACTCGTTGTCCAGGAAGCCGCAGCCCCTCCGAACGGTCACGCGTGCTGACAAGTTTCGGGAAGAGTTTGGCATCTGAGAGGACCTCATTATTAAAGCATCCAGTTTCTTCGGATACAGTAAAATGAAAAATCAGAAAACAATGTAATTATCAATGGCGCGACGCTTCTTTTTCTGATATTCACTAATTCAAGCTAATGCGGCAGACTGAGTTCATTGCATCCTTGTGATTCAATTGCACCTTAGAAGAATTGCAAGCTTCTCATGAAAGATCTTAGAAGTCTGCCTGGAAACTCTACGCCCTTTCCAAGGTAGTCCAAGAAAGATAAGAAAGGCACCAGGGAACTCAAGGAATCACGGCGTCCGGCTACCTGTGGCAAGTCTGTGACCAGCGAGTCCTTGCCCTCAGCAATGTCGCATGGCCAGATATGGCCAGATTGTGATTCTGACAGTGAAATACAGTGAATCAAGTGCGCAGGCAGATATTTGAGGTCATCATTTCAACATATTTCAACATATTTCGACCATGTGCTGCCAGTGCTACCTCAGGAAGATGGAAAATGTGAACACGGCCAGATCCGCCAACACGTTTTTCGCGCAGCTCGTCGTTCAAAGCACCATGCGAGCCTCGAAGGCTGGGACTCTTTTGCAGATTCCAATGTTTCACATCAGTTTGAGTTTGCAGGACAGTCCACATAAATATATACATATTCAATACACATGTTCAAAGATGTTCAAATAAATATATACATATTCAATACACATGTTCAAAGATGTTCAAATTGCCCCAAAATCAATAGAAAGAACAACTACGATGGGATCTTCCTCAGCTCCAGGCCATAGGCGTAGTAGTAGTCTCCAACATTTGAGCTAAGTCCACTATCAGCATGTGGGGAGTGAACAACATGGTCGCCGACCTGCAGAGCTGACTTGACCAAGAGAGCTTAACAAATGCTGTAGATGCTATGGAATATCCATGGATATCCCAGAAAATCTGCTGGAAATAGAATCAAAGCTGCAAAGCAAGATACGTCGTCCCAGCCTGCGCCCACCATTTGCCATTGCTCAGCAATGATGCTGCATCTGGCCGGATTCGAGGCAGCTCAGAAGCGCTGGCAAGGCTCAGCGCCAGAAGCACAGCTATTCGCATGGATTTGTTTGGTAGTACCTTGGCGCTGACACCGGCGTTTCGGGGGGTGGAAACCAGAACTAGGTCGAAGGTTGTCCGAGCTTGTCCGAGCTTGTCCGAGCTTGTCCGAGCTTGTCCGAGCTTGTCCGAGCTTGTCCATGTGCAATGCGAGGTGTCTGTCAAGCCACGCTGGGCAGGGCACCTCCTTGGCCAGACATGAGAATCAAATGCTCCGACTTGTGCAGTGTGCAGTTCCGTGCGGAAATTGTTTATGCACAAACATCCAAAGCAGGATGGACAATCTGAGTGCTGCTCGAAAACGTAAGTGATTTGTGGGCACAGGACGCGCCCTTTGATCTACATGATAACAGGTAGCGCGCGATCATACTCATGAATGTGTAAGAGGTGAGATGAAGTCCTGCCTGCTACAAATTCCAGCAAGTACCGTTCAAGCAGGAAAGGAATCCCCCTTGAAGGTGATGCCAACAGAGTTGGTTCAAGAAGTGTCAGAAGTGCCCGGATAAAGAATTAAGGTTGGAGTCTATGTGACCCTTAGATCCAATCCAACAGTGAATTGACCTCCATTACGAGAGACTTCGTTCAAAACACCGCCAATGTGAGGATCCCTAAGCAAGGACTAAGAAGATGAAGAAGAATTAAGGTCTGAATCTACCTGTGAGGTTAGTAGAATCTGGCCTAGCCGGTGTTGACTTTGACGCCACACAAGTTTTTTATGCATTATCTGTAGGGCATCACTGCAGGGGCCAATGCAGATGATATATGTATTTTTATCTATATATCACATAGTATAATATAAATATATTATAATATTATATATATACCACAACGGCAAGGGCATTCCCTGTAGACCCTTGTGTAATTTCTTCAACGTGTGAAGAAATCTGACGTGTTCGCTGCGGTGTCAAGCCTCAGAGCTCCACGCACGACTCCAGGTTCTTTGAGTTGTGCCAAAGACACAGGACCTTGAAGCTTGGCTGCGAGCCAAAGAAATGGAGATCAAACATATTTTAAAACAATGTACATGAAAGGACTTTAAGGCTCTAAGGTGTCTTGAAGGGTTGTCAAGATTCGGATGATAGAGGTCAGCACAAGCTTCTTGGAGAACTTTCACAGCTCGGTAGTGTCCAAATCGCTCGGATTCATTGGCATTCTCGGCCATGCTATCATTGGATGCTGCAATGAGTTTGAAATTCAAATACTCACAAATCACATCAAATCAAATCACAGTCCTTTTGACAAGATCGGTTCTGTCTGACGTACGCTTCAAAACACTTCATGGTGCTGACAAATCTAGATCAGGCATGATCAAGCCTTTGAGGGTGTCTCAGCCTATTCAAAACACAAAATAAGGCTCTTCTCCGTGGCAAGTTTTGGTGCTTCGAGACAAAACAAGAACACAAAGCTGACGAAGTTCTCAAAACTAGCAAAAACACAAAGCGAACACGGTGCCAAGATATGCTGAGGAGAAAACACAGGACAAACATGGACAAACTCTGTTTTCGTCCCCTCTGGACCGGCTGATATCTGGTCTGGGGAGAAAACTAAAGAAACTCGTCGCCTGAGGAATCAGCAAGAGCTCTGCTGGGTCACTCTATGGCAAAGCCAAAAGAAGCGGTTGTGGCTCTGGATATCCGAGAATCTCCTCCAGAGACCCTGGATCTCTCTTTGCAGAGACATCTCTGTCTACTGTTGCGATCTGTGCTGTGAAACCAAAATCAGCTCGTGAGCGTGACAATTGTGAGAATCGTGACAATCCACTCCGGCCAAGGTGGGATTGGAAAATCGAAACTTCAGCCACTCAGAAGGCTGTGCCTCTCCATGACCCGCACACAGGTTGGAGTTGGATGTGCGAGTTGATGCTAAAACACTATCTCCGGTCTTTCAACATGTGATGCATCGAAACCACAACTTGGAAATCTTGAATACATTGCATCTTCACATATCTTCACTGCATCAAAAGCTGGACACATCTCGCACGCCGACGTATGACATACATATACTGTACATGCATGTCATGTGCACACATGTATATATATATATATATACGATGTACATATAAACATGTATACTATATATAATATTATATAATATTATATGATATCATATTATATTATATTATATCATATAATATAATATGATATAATGTAATGTAATATAATATAATTTAAGCTAATTCAATATAATATGATATATGATATATGATATATGATATATGATATATGATATAATATAATATAATATAATAATATAATATATAATATATAGTATATAGTATATAGTATATAATATATAATATATAATGTATAATATATAATATATAATGTATAATATATAATATAATATATAATATATAATATAATATATAATATATAATATATATATAATATATATATATATACATTGTTGGCATTATTGTGTAAGCACTTAGCATCTCCTGGCCTGCAAGGCCCTTGTGGTCCGCATAGGACTCTATCCTGGCCTTCTTGGCTGCAGGCATGTTTCCACCTGTCAGAAATCAGCACTGCCATGCTGCCAGAGAGGCCAGTGGCTGGGATCTTTTGCTTGCTGCTTCTGATCTTGACACACAACACAATGAGTCAAGTTTTGCAGCTTCTTGGCCTTCCCTGTCTGCAAATCGAGTTGCAAGGCCGTCGCAGTTGATGCCAGTCATGGCCTTTTCATAGAGCGGGAACGAAAGTGGTGCAAGGATGTGCAAGGAAGATCATAGAAAAGAGGCACAGGCGCAAAGCGCAAAAAGGTCGAACACCGACGTGAAACAGTGTGCCAAGATTTTTTCCGCAGGACAAGCGAGGACAAGCTTCCAGAAGACTGGTTTGATGCTGCAAGGTGTGATAAATATGCAGATGCTATGACAGTGCCAAAGAAGCACCTCTCCCAAGTCTTCGGAGACTTCAGCAATGACCTTCCAGGCGCTGTATGAAAGGCAGCCAGGAAGTTAGGTTTGCACAAACAGAATCTAAAACAAAGATGTGGTGCAAAGATTATCAAAGATGTACAAAGCATGAGTTACAGACATTCCTACATCATCCTACACCCCAACCACAGGCAAACCTGCGGATCCTTGTAGTGAGTCACGGCCTGCATCGAAGGTGGCAAGCCACATTGTGATTCGAAAAATCATCTGACCCTCGTCCCGGAGTGCTGTCAAAATCTGTCAAATGTATTCAAACGTTACAATGTCCGTTACAAATCTATACAAATCTATACAAATCTCCAAACTGTGCCGTGCTGTTTGGAGCATCTTCCAGCATCCCTATGCAGCTGTGCATCTTTCGTCCTTGACAATGGCACGTGCTCGCTTGGCCGGATCCTCAGACTTGAAGATGCCACTGCCAACCTCCGATGCGGTAGTAGACTTCCAGAAACCGCCAAGCTTTCAGAATGCTTTCCATCTCTTAGATTCGCCGTGAAGTTTTTTTTGTATCCCAGCAATTCTGGAAAATTGCTTGGAAAGAAATTTCGAAAGCAGCGGCTTCAACTCCTGCGAAAACGATCTTTGATTGCTGAGGCATCGTCAAAGACACCATCCACACCCAGCTGCATGCCTTAGGTCAATTTATGTCAATTTGAGACTTCAAAAATCTTCAAAATGTGTTTGCTTTTCTTTACTTCATGTTGTATCATGTTGTAACTTGTTTCAGTGAAGCTACTGGATTTCAACAAGAAGGCCTCCAATCGGACTGGTCCACAGGTAAAGCCAATCATGGCAAGACGCATGGCAAGGTTAAGCAGATTGGAGACCTTTATATAAAGACTTTGTAAGTAAATATTTCAATCCAGATACACAAGGCAGCATCTGCAGGAGTTGCCACGCCACCAGCAGCAAAATTCACTACCTGAGAAGAATCTACACACCAAAGATGGAAACATACGCCACAGAGGCTCAACAACTGGCTCAAGATTCTTGCAGGAAAGTTCTTTTCCCAGTGGTAGCAGAAAACATCTGCAGAAAATGAGAAAGCCATCTTGCCCCAGCAATCTTCTGGGTGGTTACCTGGATCTGGGAAAGGCTTCTTGGCCTCATTCGTGGGCTAAGAACGCGGCAGGAAGCTTTCCGGTTTTCTTGACCTGCAAATATAGGAAGCCGAGTGAGAAAGAGAGGACAAAGGACAGTGCTCAGGAAGGGGAAGCTGCTGGAAGCTATGTCGAGGGGCTACAGTACCGGCCAGCGCAACAAGATGTTGTGTTGTCTTCAACCAGCGCTAACTTCAAAGATTGACGAAACACCACTGCCTGCTGCAGAAGATCAATAGGGGCTCCAATTTCCTTGCCAGAGGCATTGTCGGCAAAACTTCATGGAGTTGGCAACATATTGCAGAAAATTGGAGAGGCAGTTAGCCATTTCACCCAATTCCGCTGTCCTTTGCATAGGTGAAGAGCTCATCATCGTCCATCATCTGCACCATTCGGATCTCCTGAATGAAATGCTCAAAAGGAGAGGAAGTCGTACGGAGCAAGACAGAGCCACAGCCACAGGCAAGCATGCTGCAAGCATGCTGCAAGCATGCTGCAAATGCACAAGCGCTTGTATGAAATGTAGAATGTTCCAAAGTGGAAGGGATCGCTCCTTGTGCAAGGTGCGAATGTGCCTGACAGCCTCCACCACATCTCCGGTTCCAGCCTCGCCCTTCGTGCGGATCATGCTCGCACCTGCTTGGGACCGAACGGAACAGGTTCGGAACGGGTTCGGAACGGGTTCGAAAAAGTGTGTGAACTTCTTTGAACGTCGAAGTGCAATACGATGGCAATGCTGTGGCAATGCCTTCGGCAACTCGGCGCAAAGCCTCACCAAGGTTGCGGCATCCGCACCTCCATTGCATTCACGCACATTCAAGGCCGCAACATGCCGCATGCCGCAACATGCCGCAGCAATCTTCATCTTGAACGTTCATCCAAGGCGTTCATCTCATGTTGATGTTGATCCGCGCGTTAATTCTACCAGTTATCCCTTTCTCATCCTTTCTCACTTTCTCTGTATATTCTCAGCAAATGTAGTATGTTCGTCGAGTATCGTCGAGTTGTGGACAGGTCGCTTAATTGGATTTCATCAATTTCATCCTACATGTTATCGTATGCCATCCAATGTTTGGCCACGACTTTTCCTCTCAGGAATTCTCCTGAGCTCAAGAGCTCAAGCTGAGGCTGTGACACGAAAGGGACCTTAAACCTCAGCTTGAGTGACAATCCAGAACCAATTCAGAACAGTGCTGGGTTCTTGCACTGAAGAGTGGCAGACAAATTAAGCAGCTCGAATTTTGCTTGGGTGTACGATATGTACGTGTTTTACGTCTCTGTATGTGTAATGCAAAATAACGTCACAAAGTTGGAAGTAGGGTGCTGTAAAGCAAAGAAAATTGGTGCAATGATACAGCATCTTCAGTTTTCTTCAGTTGTATTCTATCTTTTAGCGCCTCGCGTGCATGCATAATCATAATCACGTCACCTCTATATGCCTTTGATGTCTCCGCTTCTTGTGCCGAAAGAAATGCTCTCAGGTTGGCGCTTGGTCTTGTTCACGTGATTGCCCTGTAGCACAAATGAGGTGCAGGACAGTAGATGACAGCAGCAGGAAGCATTGTTCAATCCGAAAAATTGTCTCTCAAACCCTCTTCCTCTGTCCGCCCGCATCTTTGATGTCTTAGACTGTCCTGTTCAACTTCCTTCCAAGTGTCCACTATATATAAGTGTGCTTGGGGGATCTTGGGGGAAGCCCACGCACTGCCCTTTCAGCGAAGTGGAGAGTGACAGTTCAAGGCGACAGTGGCTACAGCTGTTCCATCGGATAAGATCGGCCTCGTCGGCCACAGTCAGCACCTCGCTCTCATCAATGCAGTCCACACCAATCTGCTGCAAGACCTGTCACTGCTGCACTGCGCCCAAGTTTCCTGACTTTCCAACTTTAACCCTATTGCCTATTGACATCTATTGACTCTCCAAATTTGCAGCTGGTTTTTCTCACAGACACCGCCTGAGACTCCACGAAGTGTCCAATGCGGCACTTTGCCATCACCTCAAGTGTTGCATAATGTTCCGAGGTATTTGGTGATCCAAATCGGATCTTGAGAATGAATTTCAACTTGCACATCCATTTTGTAATCTTTTATGACTTGTCTGACTTGCATGTGTGACCTCTAACCTCTATTTTTTCCTGCAACTTCAAATCCATAGAATCCATAGCTGAAGCCCACGCAGGAATAGAGACAGAGTTGACAATCTCCTGGCACGCAATCCATCCGAGACATCCAATTCAACCAGTTGAACCTTGGTACTTCAACGCGAAGAAGCTTTAAAATCTTTAAATAGATTAGAATGATTAGAATTTGATATGACTGATTTGATCATATTGATGATATTTGATGATATTTGATCTCTGACTGTCTCTGATATCTCAGTGATATATGTGTTTCATTCCTGTCGCCCAGGCCTTGATCATCTTGGGGTCAGACATTCGGGCCACACCCTGCGCAGCACAACGCAGCACAACGCTGCACTTATCCCAGCTAAGCTCAATAAGCTCAATAAGCTCAATATGCTCAATGCTTTCAGCTTGCAGAAATCTCGCCAGGTTGTGGTACCCAGTTACCCAGTACTGTACAAAGTCTCTAAAATGTACTTGGCAATCTGCAATCAGTATGTCTCCCGCTGGGCAGGTGCAGTCACTCAATTCTCAACAAGTCAAACTCTCAAGCCTTGCTCTGACGGATGTCTGCTGGAATGCCTTGCATCATGCTTCTGCCAAATCGTCTTCACACATGTTTACTGCGCAAATCAATTTGTACTCAGCCTCGGCCTGGGTTGCTGTGACTCAAGTTGTACTTCAAAAATTATTGCTTCAAATTGCTTCATTCTGCATGGAACAAGACTGTAAAGAAATTTTAAAGCTGTTGCAGGCCAAGGTGCGTTCAAGGGCCATGACGGCACAAGCTCCAGCCTCTTCTGCAATCTTTGCCTGCTCCTTGTTCATTACATCCATGATGACCTCACAGAGTGGTGCCACATCCGTCAGAATTGTGCTTTTCACGAGTTGTTCAAGAAAAGTGTGCCCCCAAGATGCCCCAAGTGTGCGATTCACTGCCTTGCATCACTAAGCAACCAACGCCTCCCTTCAGCATGGCAGGCAAACCCTTCTTCACCTGTTGACGAAACTTTCAAGTCATGAGTCACCGCAAAAAGATGCAAAAAGTCCAACCATCTTCAGGCCACCGATCTTATGAACGGCAACACATGCCAAGACATTTCCAACAAGTACAGCTCAGTATCTTGCACGCCGTTAAAACTCCTGATGCTTGGGAACGGACTCGCTTGGTGCCCTCTGCAACTGCACGAGGTGCTTCCGCCATTGTGACCTTGAGCATTCAAGACCCAATTTGCGGCATGACCAAAGATACACAGCAAAGAGGTGTGCAAGCAACACGGACTACCAAAAGATTTTCAAGGCAGGAGCAACAACAATGACAAATAGCACAGACCTTACCAAATATCTCACCAGAATCAGGGACACGGAAGAGTTAAACAAAGTACAGTACCAACGTTCAAAGCATCAATCCGTTCTGAGAAATTGTCGTTGAAGGAGAGGGAGCGTACTGTTCAGCAGGACTTGAGCCACGACTTGAGCAGAAAGTCAGGTGCCAAAGCGCAACTGCCAAACGCCACATGCCATGAATGGGCCACGCAGCGTCCGCCTAGAGCTGAATTCTCTGCTCTGAAATTGCATGCTGTAGCATCACCTACATGTGCACATGCGCATGTACACAATGTAAATCTGAGGCCCAAATCCTATGTAAGCCTAGATGAAGTAGTGATATGACATGATATGACATGATCGTACAGTATCTCCAATATGAGTCGAACACACGATGCGCAAGATCCATCAAGGACATTGAGGCACATTGTGACATCAAGACATCAACATCTCCACATCTCCTAGTCACTACATGTCAAGACATGTCACGACATGTCACTACCTAGTGCTTCTCTGTTTTTCTTCACATGAAGCCAGGCAAGGCCTGGGTGAAACGTTTGGACTTGGTAGACTTCTGTCTGACTTCTGTATCAACAGTGAGCCAATCTTAAGCTGTCACTTTGGACAGAACATGCAGGCAATCCTGAGAAGAACAAATCAACGATAACGATGTATGAACAATCAAGTCATTCGAAACCATCTTTGACAAACATGCTCCTAGCACCAAACTCACGGAGCCATTTGCTTCCTCAAGGAGGATACACAGGCGGTGGTGGAACTTTGATGGCGCCCTCAAAAACAATTGCACGTCGGCCTGGGCAGAACACACAAGTTGGGCAAGTTGGCTGCTCCCTGGTGTGAACCTGCTGGAACACTATCTGACAATACATTCGCCAATGCGCCATGCATGTTGCTCACGTGTTTGTGTGCACGGCTGCGCTTGCTACACCAAGATCTGGACAGCATCCACATACCTTGGAAGCATCCTGACAAATGAGTACAAATCATGCATGCAGAAGACTAATAGAAATCATACAGCGAATACTCCTCAAAACTCACAACAGCACTTTCTGCACTTGCCATCAGAACCTCAACATATATACCCTTGCACTTAGGCCTGGATAGACAGCGGATTCAGCGTGGGCAAGTGAGGACCAAGAGCGTCACCAACCTCGCCACATGACCAAGGACAAGAATGGAAAAGATAGAAATCGTGCCAGGCAATCTGTCTCGAGTCTACCCATCTCCAGATGCGGACCTCAACCTCTTTCCGCAACATGTCACGCTGTCTCTGAACCTCTTCTACCTGTCAAGAGATTGAGGCCCAGGGGAAAATGGTGAAGCAACCATGCATCAGGTAAATGTTCACCCCTTAAGACAACACTTTCTTTTGCATTTTGCGCAGCATTTGAACGGTTGTTATATTTGGCTGGAGCAAAATGGCGCCGCTGGGTTTGTGAGTGTTTTGTTGCATATTGGTTCGAAAGCTCTGGTTGCGTTCACCCACCCATCGGATTTGAGTCTTTGGAGTTTGTGACTCGAGAAGACTTCGAATAAACCTCGAACCCCAGACTTGGCCGCAGACCCCTTGAAACTCCAAACTCAAGCATGGTGGGAACCACGCTGAGTGCGTACTTGGATATACTTCGATTCGTATGCTCTTTGCATTACCAAGTTGCATCAAACGAATTCTGCCTGTTGTTCTGTCACCATTCAGGCAAAGAATTCATCTGTAGCATTGCACTTTATCCGCGGTTTCTTTTAGACTCTAGACATTCACATCACCGCACATAAACTCCTGACTCCCCAACCTCCCACACTGGTACAAGCACTAGCTGATTCTCAACTTGTATATATATATAGCATGACATTGAAACTTTTGCCGCTTTGGCAGACAGAAGTCGTGAAGATGACCTGATGTGTCTATGATATGTGTGCTGGTCATATTATATTCATATATACCACATATAATATACATCTACAGTGTATGTATATATATATATACAGTATATGTATATATATACATTGCAAATATTATGTATATACATGAATGTATGATTATAATTGATTATATAGAGAGAGATGAGAATAATTGATTATGTATATATATATATGATCATACATCTTGTGTATATATATCTATATATGATTGTATATAATTATATGTATATATTATATATTTATATATTATATATATATGATTATATATATATGTATATATGATTATATATATGTATATGATTATATATGTATATATGTATATGATTATATATGTATGTATGTATATGATTATATATGTATATGTGATTATATATATATGTATATATGACTATATCTGATTATATATATATGTATGTGATTATATATGTATATATGACTATATATGTATATATGATTATATATGTCTATATTTGGAGGTTTCACAAAATGGTGGATCCTTCAAAACATTGGTTTCAATACTAAAATGGTGTATATATAATTTTGGATGATTTAGGGATACCCCCATTTTAGGAAACCGCCATATATATATATAATTACAATTATGTAGATACAGTGGGTATGTGGATAGTCGTACGTCATGTGCGTTGTGCTCCCTGCAAAATTCACGCCAGCGCAGATGTCAAATGGCAAATGCAATTCTACTCGTTCCGTGTGGTTCTCTTTAAGAGAAGGCTCCGCGTTGGAGAGAAAGAGTCCTGTAGTAACACCCTATACAGCAGAAGCACCCAGGAAGATCGCTCAGCCCGTGAAGCACAAACAGTCAACTGTTAGTGTGCAGAGTAGTAAAACAATACCGGTCATACCATTGGGATCCATAGGGGTTCTTACGGACCATAGCTAGCACTGGAAAGCTGTTGTGCCTTGCAACATACAATGAGCTGCACATTCTGTTCCCACAGCCCAAGCCAAGGTGCAGCAGCGCGCTCTTTGCTTCACAAATGTCTTCATTGGGTGTGACTATCTGGAGATACTGGCTCTCCTGTCAAATTCGTAGCCCCACCTCTCGCTTGAAGTCTGCTTTGGCTTTCGCGAGTTCCGTATTCTTGAAATCCTCCAAGTCCTAGATCAACACAGTTTCACATCACATGTTTCAAGCAAGTGAGAATCGATTCATGTGAGGCACAGGCACCAAGCACAACAGGCACCACTATCTTCTTTGCAGGAGAAATCACAGCATGTGCAGGAGGTTGAAGTCACATTCAAAATCTTCTCATGAACTGAAGCTAAGAAGAAAGACAGGCCTAACTGGTTCCATTCTGCACAGCTTGTGATATTGACTATTCTGACATCCTCGGCAGCTTTCTTCTTGATGGCTTGGACTGTGTAGTAGCACTCCTCCTTCACCTGACAACCATTGAAAACCCATCTCGTAAGACTCGTCGCAAGACTCGTCGCAAGACTCGTCGCAAGACTCGTCGCAAGACTCGTCGCAAGACTCGTCGCAAGACTCGTCGCAAGATGGCCAAAGTGCAGCCACCAGAATTGCAGGAAGCACATCTTAAGATTTACCGCGCCTTGACCAACTCCGTGTCAAGATCCCTTGTAAATGCAAGCAGTTCCTGCAAACAAAATCTTCAAATGCAAAATTATAGACTTCTAGGCTTCTAGATTGATTTCTAGCACTACCCATCGCTTACACCAATGTTACACCTTCTTTGCACGTGAGTACCCACAGAAATACGCCTGTCTTGATCTTGAGCTATGCCAAAAATGGGTTCTTCATGTGTGTTTGTGTGGGAGAGACATTGCTTGGTACAGCGCACTTCTAAGCCCTGACGCTCGGCGTGCCAAGACAAGCACCGCCGAGCAAAAGGAACGGCTCTTAACGAGGAGAATATGTCGATCGATTCGAACCCAGTGACTGCTTTACAACATAAGGCCCAGGCATCACGCTCGCGCTCAAGATGTTGGCGCAGCCGTCGTTCAGCAGGAAGGATCCCTGCGAGCCATCCCAAGCAGTAGAGTTTGTGCAGCCCTTTGAGGAAGCAAAATCAGGAGCATGCAATGCAACAGAATCTAACTTGAAAAATACCAGAAATGAATAGCGTCGTTGCTATCAGAATGAACAGGGTTTCACAAAGAAATGTATATAATATAGCAATTTTGCCCTGCAATGGGCCTATTTGTGACGATGGCTCGAGGCCTCAGACTGTCAACTTCGCTCCTGCTAAGACAACTCGAGCAACTATATACAAATCAGTACTGTCAAGGAGATCGACGTTCCAACTCTTCTCACTCCGCTGCCGGACTCTAGGATCAAAGCCAGGCTCTTTCTCCGCGTCAGGTTCGTTTCCCGGACCCTCCAGCTCAAGCAAACCTTGTTCCCAAAAATGCACGCTTTGTCCGGTTCAAGCCGTAAAGCTGGCCCTCACCAACCTGCACGGCAAAAATCTATCTATCTATATCTATCTATTTATCTATCTATCTATATATATATATATGTAGTGAAACTTAGTCAGTATTGGCAGTATTGGTGTGTTTGTACCGAGTGCCAGGCGCAACCGCCGTGCGTCCGCCACTGCTTGAACCGCTTGCAGGCGGTCAAGTAGCTCAGCCTGGCACCAAACCGTTGCAGAACTGACCTTGAACGTTGGCAGAGACTACTGATAGGTGGCCCTCGTGGTCCCTGCGGTCGCTTCAAGTTGATCTACCAAAAAGATCCGAAAGTCCGAAAGATCATATTTTTGTTGAAAGCATGAAAGCAGTTGAAAGGATTGATTGTGAGGCGCTTACATAGGCTTGCGCAAAGAAACGTCTCAGGTGCCATGCTGTGCCTCGCGCTGGCTGCTTTCTCGTAGCAGGCGTCTCAAAGATGGCCTTCCTGGCCCATCCTCATCGAGAGCAATGTCCTGGCAGAGCAAAGCTGAGCAAACCTAGTGACCAAAGTGTCAAGCTGTCAGCGCTGTAGCAGGTCACTTTGGCCACTTTGGCCACTTTGGCCACTTTGGTCACTTTGGTCACTTTACAAAAAGACATTGCTTTGAACCAGAGCACACTCTCAGACTTTCTGGGAAAAAATTGGCAAACTTCAGGATTGATGCAGCAACGATTGATTTATTTCGCTCAATTCAGTCTTTAGCCGCTCCTCCAAACCTCTTGCTTCTGCAAGGAGTCGTTTGACGTTGGTGCGTGCAAGAAGAAGCGCAACTTCTCCCTCGCGATCTGAACTCTTGTAGACCAAACACATGCATACACATGCGATATAAGTCTCTCACAACGATACCAGGTACACTGAGACATTGAGACTCTTGTAGACTCTTGTAGACTTTGCCCGTCACATTTGTACAGTGCATAAATTGGTGACTCTTGGGGAAAGACTTCGAAAATAACATTGCCAGCTTACGGAGCAGGTGGACCTGTTGCCATCCACTTGGTGACCTAATTGACGTCCCTCTAAGGACCTTTGATTTTCGTTCACATTTCTCTGAGGACGATGCATCTCGTAGCTGACCAGAAAGTCTTCTTAGTTCTGCCTTAAGCTTTGCGACCTCAAAAGAGCATCCAGTTTTGAGCCATTGAAGATTGATGCGCTGTAGATTTCAAGATTTGTCAGAAAATGCTTGCGAATGACAAAAAGCTGACGTACTGCCTGGTATCGCGCATCTCACACTCGAAATCGGTAAAGTGTTGAAGCTTCTGTTGCAAAGTCTGGTGGTGTCAAACCTCGTCGCGAAGCTCTGACAGCTGCTTGGACATCCGCTTCTTGTCCTCGGACAATCTGGGATTCTTTGGGATTCTTTGGGAGTCTTTGTGGCTATGTCTGGCTATGTCTGGCTATGTCTGGCTATGTCTGGCTATGTGTCCAGTTTGCACCTTCGGCCTGCCGGAACCAGAGCCGAATTGAGACACAGCACAAAGAGATACAAAGAGCACAACTAAGGATGACTGAGGATGACACATCCTCCAGTTCTTCGACCTTCAAAACACTTTGCTATATACCCTTTGGCATAGGAAAGCTACAGTCATGAACTCTAGGAGTCTGCATGCTTCCACCCGTGCGATTGATACCTTCAACAAAGCGTTCCTTTTGGCGGTACAAGCTTGCACCCCAGTTGGCAAGTTCCCTTCGCATGGATTGGCGCCAGTAGGTGAAATCCAGTGAAATCCACAGCGATAAAACGGATATGAACAGCTACTCGTATGGTGAAATCCACAACGACTCGTTAGTCATAGGTCTTGGTTGTAGTAAACTTAGTAAACCATCAAGTGGATTGCGCGGCAAACACGACGCTGAAAAGAGTTTGAAAAGAGTTGATTAAAAACTTACCGAGAGCACTTGAGTGCACTGGGAGTGCACTGAGCCCTGTCTCCCGGGCCTTGTCTGTGAGCCGATTCTTCTCGACGCTCAGAACCTTGAAGACTCAGCTGACTTTCAGGTGACTTTCAGGTGACTTTCAGGTGGCTATCAACAAAATTCAACAAACAACTACCATTTCAGTAACTCCAAATGATGCTAAATGATGCTAAATGATGCTAAATGTATGATGGATATGGAAGATCCAGAACTCAAACAAACTTCCCAGGCACAGAAAGACTATGAGAAAAAAGATACATTTCTTTGCTTCTTGATCTTCTTGTCATGCAAGGAGAATGGCTTGACCTTCTAATGACCAGGATTTTCAGAGGCAAGTCTGCTTTGCGCAATCAGATCAGCTCCGCACTTGTAGCCTTTTTGCCTGGAACCACGGGTAGAGGGCAAGGCTGAGCCAGTCAGACAGATAATGTCCTTCACCTTTCCAGATTTATCCAGAATCCGGACCGAAATGACTGGTCTGATCGATGCCACAAGAAAATAGAAAGAGCATAAAAGTGCCATAAATTTTAATAAAAAGAGCAAAAGAAAAGATAAGAAAAAGTAGGCAATGCAATGCAATGCACCTGATCTTCTGCTGTACCTTGCGTATCCTCAAGTTCTGCCATGGCTCGCTCGTGAGCAGCCAAGAACCTGCAGTTTCTGCCAGTTCTGTGGGTTCTGCCGGATTCTGCCAGTTCATCTGGCAGTACCCATGCTTTGATCAGCTCTTGTTACGTCCCTTGACAGTCTATGTCTATATCTTTGGCTATATCTTTGGCTATATCTTGGTTGCGTGGGTCCCATACTCGACGACTTGACAACGAGTCGACAAGGTACATCCATGGCAAGCTGAGACTGTCAACGCTTTTCTCCAAGGCACTTCTCATAGAGGCGCTTGTACTCATCACGGTCTGCTTCAAGCGCAGAACGCCTCAGGGCAGAATGGAACTGCATTGTCTCTGCATTGTCTCTGCATTGTCGCTGCATTGTCTCTGCATTGTGCCTTCAAGTTTTTGGGCAGAAACCCTTTGTTTCTTTACTTTCTTGTGAGAAAGCTGCTGCAGTCATGTACATTTCTTGATGCTTGTCAATTGCAATCTATTGTCTTGGTGTTTTTTGCCTACACCCTTTATTCGTATCTGTTTGTGCAATTTGTTTTTCATCACACTGAGTTCTCTGCTGCTCCTCCCACTGGCGGGCTGCTTCCTCCAAGTCCTCCTGTGTTGAGACCATTTTGTTCTCCAGGTCAGTGACCTCATGCGATCCAAGGATCGACTGGAGAGTCTGCCCGATAAATCGAACTGCAACAAAATCCGTTAAGGCACAGAACACTGTATGGATTGCCAGTGGAAAATACTTGAGAGCTGTCACTGCCCTGACTGGAGGTCAGTATGGTCGCACAAGTACGCTTAGTACGCTTATTGAAGTCATGATGATCCTTTCAATCACAAAGCGTCATCCTTCCAGCACCAACAGAAGAACAATGGTGCCGCACAGGGACATGCTATGGGAGGGGCAGTGTGAGCTGCGGCATCTGTATACAACAGCAACAGCTGTATTTGAGGCAGCACCACAACTGCCACCACAAGCAACTCAAGCACCAACGCACCACTGCCATCATCATAAGCATTCATCGTGATCGCATTCTCGCCATCATGATTACGGTATTACCATCTCAACAATCATAATTATATAGTTGCTCTGCGTCTCTTTCACTCAGCCTTCAAAGCCTCACAACTAATGCCAATAACAATCACCATCTCCATCATCATCGGCCGCAGCAGCAGGAGCAGCACCCCAGCAAGACCAGCAACATCAGCAACAACAGGATAAACCTAATCACTGTCCAAAGCAAACCACGTGCTTGCAAGCAAACAGCATCCTGTAAGATTCACGCCCTTCCCACAAGCACGGAGTTCCGGCCTAGCAGGCAAAATTCAAATCTGTCCAAGCTTGTACCAACAAATGCTTGGCCGCTTAACCACAAGGGGAAATCGGGGGGATACCTGCAGACTTAGAATCTTGGTTCTTCCAGAAATCAACTAGGGCTGTGAAAAAGAAATTCGACTTTTCACCCAAAGATAAGCTCATCTGCTAAGTAAACAACAGCTTGAGGCAGCAGCGGATCTTTGATCTGTCTGAATCTGCCAAATTGATCAAGACAGTCGAAAATGCACGCCTTCAAGTTCAGTCGAGCGAGCTCGTTCACATTGGTAGCGCCAGGAGACAAGGATGTCATCCTTTGCACTCGGGTCCCAGTGTACAAAGCCGCAAGCAGTTTAATGCAGATTATAATCTAGACAGTACACGATGATGTCACATAGTTGTTGTACGGATATGCACTGGACAAACATATGCATTCTACCCATGCTACCCATGCTCTTGTGGAAGAAGAGCTTCTCCAGGCTCTGTAGCCCTTTGCCTAAAGGTCTGACCCAAACAGTGGGAGTTAGTGGTTTTACTGGTTTGCCTCAAGGACAAATGCTGCACTTACTGAGACTTACTGCAAGACTTACTGCAAGAATGACTGCAACATGTACAAACGAATGTCTTCTCCCAGTACTTTGAAACAACGTTTTGCTGTGGGTCAGCCGGGAGAGCAACATCCAGTCCTGCATCTTGCGCCTGAGCGCATGCTTCTGATTGCTCGCTGTTCTGACGAGATATTCCTGGAAATGGCAGAGGCACAAATGTGCTGCCGTGACATCTGAACTTTCTGCTGTCTGATGAAGTCTATTGACTGTTGAATTCTTCCAGAGCCAAGGTACACTTATGATTCAAAGGAAAGAAAAATGACAATGCGCGTTGACATTTTCAGCAAAGTTGGCAAGTGTGGGTGAACAGAGAGACTTTCAGACAGGAGCCTGAGGTGTCTGTCCTCTCCAAGTGCAAAGAACCAAGATGCTATCAGCACGATCCATCCAGATTATAGCAACACATGAATTCGCTATCATAGACATCAAAGCATTCTTTGCACAGAAACTGCATGTTGAGGATGTGGACAAACGTCTACATTACAGAGGAATCATGAAATAAAGCTGCTGTGAATTTTGAAACTTCTAAATCATGAGTAGCATGAATATACTTTTACTTTTGACCATATTACAAGAAGTGGCAATCAGGTAGTCAATGGTACTCAGTTTTTGTGTAACATGTGTGTGTGTGCGTGTCCACCTCTCTACCAAGTCCCTCGCTTTGCGAGAGATCACCTGGACTGCCGTGGAGAAAGCAGCCGAGCGCAAAACCACTCTGACTGACAGGCAAATTGGGCTTCTCGGATCTCAGACTAGAGCAAGCAGCATGAAATACGCAATGAATCTGTAATCTATTTCTTTCATTTGTCTTCATAATCTCTTCAAGAAATCCAACAGCGGCATTCGGGAAGATGGCTTTTTGGATGCAGGACAAGGTGTACAAAAAAACACATTCACACAGTACGAGTATTTGGACAATTTGCCTCCTAATCTCCCGGCTCTGCTGACTGTTCCATGTCGCTCTGAAGGCTCAGCCTATCTGGCACTCTGAAGGAAAGGAACTCCAATGTCAACAAAGGTGTAAATGTAAAACAATATTTAACAATAATTGCATGATATTTCGTGGGATTCTTCTGTAGATTTCTTTTGCCAAGATCTTCCGAGCAATTTTCTCAACGACATGGGGAAATTTGGGAATTGAAGCAATCCTGCTTTAGATCGCTTTCCATCAGAATCCCACGACTGTGAGATTGCTCTTTGAAAATTGTCAATCGAGCTGCGGGTGCTCGTCATACTTCAGCTTGATATCCTACACGCCCTGATCCCTTTCTGACTTTCGGCCTGCATCACTTCAATTTCAAACGCTGGGCCAACTCAAGACAAATGCCAAAATGAGTTCCTTCTCAGGAAATGCCAAAAGATCCAAAAGCAATTTGCTTTTTCATATTTCTTCCAGATTCTGCGGGATATGGGGTTGTTGCGCTGCTGGCCTTAATGTTTGACGTGATGCAGCGACTGTCAGCGACAATCCTTTTTCAAAGGGCTGCAACTTTATTTAGAGCGTTGTAGCTTTCCACAGAAAGATAAACGGTATGCTGTGGAATTCATGTGCTCAAATGGCATCTTGCCTGCAAGCTATGGTATCGACAAGCTGTCTCTCTGCTTTGACACGTGAAAAGCTGTGCAAAGCTGCAACACCAACATTCCTTTCTTGATAATCTGGGGATTCTTGGCTTACAACGGTATGCCAACATACGACAATGAACTCACCATCCAATTTGGTCGGGAGTTCGCGTGAGACAAGCTCCTTTGGAGCTGCCCAGTTTCAAAGCACTGAGCGCGGCTCAGTTTCAGCAGGTTGAGCCTTTCGTGGAATCTGCCTTGATGTCACAGTGCACTTAACCTGCAATCTTACATCTCAACTACCACGAAAAGTCTTCAACACTTTGAAGGGAAGCAGGGAAAAGCCTTTCCTGCTTCATCCTTCTGTCGATGCCTCTATTGGCTTCCATCTCGAGGATTTGAGACTTGACAAGAATAAACAGTAGCCACCACAATCACTGTCTCCATGAAACGAGCATGGATGATGATATCTCGCATCCTCACTTGCCCCGCTCAGATCGCAATTCAAGCTTCACTATTGGCAACCAGACCTGTCAGAGCAGTGCAGCAGGATTCAGTACATCTAGAAGCTGTCCATCAGTTGCTGCTCTGGTTTGACATCAACCATTTTCACGGCATTTGCTGCTGATTCGGGTTCTTGCTGAGTTCCGATAAATGGATGCAACATAGGGAAACAAGATGTCTGGGCTGGTTTGTGCTGAGTAACTCTCTTTCACATTGATTATTTCTTGATGAGTACTCACCGCGGCACTTTCGAACTATCATGGTGCGTTGATGTATTTCCACGTGTTTGGAACGATCCTGCTGCTGATAATGATGACAAACCGTTTTCGTTCTCCTGATGGTGCTGCTGAAGAAGATGCTGAGAACGATGGTGATGGTGATGATGATGGTGAGGAGGAGGAGGAAGAAGAGCTGGAGAAAGTAATCACCCTAATGATACCCATGAATCATAAGTAAGAAGCAGGTAAGATGCTGATGACACTAGAAGGGGCTTATCAATGATGGTGGCTTCTTCAAGCAGAAGGCAATGCTGGACGTCGGGCTGTGATGGTTGCATGGTTTGCCAGATCTGAGTCAGTGGTAGTTCTTGCTGGTAGTTTTTTCTGCTCATAGCCTGGTGACCCTGGTGACCCTGGTGATGTTGAAAAATGACCAACTGCTGTTGAGTTGGGATATTTCTGGATAGTTGATGATAAATGGACATTGCTTAGCTTCATAGCCTGGACTCACAAGAATTGGACTCTCGCCAGATCCCTTACGCCTTTAACATACCGAAAAGGGCACGTGATTCGAAGAAACGGATACAGATGGATAACGTATACAGGCGGTATCCAGGTTCGTTGCTCTCAAAGGTACGGCTCTGCTACAGCTGATCAGAGCCTCAGAACATTTATAGTATTTCATAATATGTATATATATAAAGACTCACCGGTTTCCCGCCTTGCCGAAACTACCGAAAAAAGGGGATGATCAACCTATTCGTCTTTACTTCCGGGGTCGTTCATTCATATATATACTGTATCAGTCACTTCAACCTGTCCACCTTGATAGCGCCGAAACGCAACAGAAGAACTGTATAATATCCGCCGACCCCTGCCGACAGCAGGGGGAGCGCGTCAGAGAAGAGATTACAAGCAACAAGTGTTGTGCAGTGCAAGTGAGGGGCAAGCGAGGGGGGGACAGAAAGGGAAGCCAGGTGCAGAGTAAGAAGCCCAAAAAAGGAAGCGAGAAAGGAGGGGCAGTCTCAGCGAACGTAGCGGGGCAAGCGAGGGGGGGACAGAAAGGGAAGCCAGGTGCAGAGTAAGAAGCTCAAAAAAGGAAGCGAGAAAGGAGGGGCAGTCTCAGCGAACGTAGCAAGCGAAAGAAGCACGAAACAAGAAGTTAAAGCAAGAATGCAGAAGCAAGAGTAAACGAGCGACAGAAAGTAATGTTTGGCACTCTGGGCTACGGGCCGCGGGCCCAATCCGTCCTTCACTGCCATGGTGTTTTAGCCCTGCGAGGAGGTCCCTTGACCGGAGCTGTGCCGCACGAAAGCCAGCTGTCAGACAACGCAGGCAAGTTGGCAGTTGGCAGTGCAGGAACGCAGGGAAAAGCCAGGTTTGAGCTGCAAGACGACGCAGGCAAAGTGGCAGGGAAAAGCAAGGTTTGAAGCTAGTTTCTAGGCAGTTCAGAAGGCAACGTTTGGCACCGTGGGCTGCCGGCTGCGGGCCCGATCCGTCCTTCAGTGCCATGGTGTTGGGGCCCTGCGGAGGGGTCCTTGGACTCGAGCTGACGGCAAGACACAGCAAGGTTTGAAGCTAGTTTCGACTTGACCGGAGCTGTGCCGCACGAAAGCCAGCTGTCAGACAATGCAGGCAAGTTGGCAGTTGGCAGTGCAGGAACGCAGGGAAAAGCAAAGTTTGAAGCTAGTTTCTAGGCACTGCAGAAAGCAACGTTTGGCAGTATGGGCTGCCGGCCGCGGGCCCGATCCGTCCTTCACTGCCATGGTGTTTGAGGCCTGCGACAGGGTCCTTGGACCCGAGCTGACGCCAGGAAACAGCAAGGTTTGAACCGGCAGACCTGGTCCGTCCCTCAGGGCCCTGCTGTTTGGCTGTGGCGCAGGCGCCGTTTTGGGGCAGACAGCAAGGTTTTCTTGTAGGGTCAGAAAGCAACGTTAGGCACTCACGGCCGTGGCCCGCAGGCCCGATCCGTCCTTCACTGCCATGGTGTTTGAGGCCCGCGACAGGGTCCTTGGACTCGAGCTGACGGCAGGAAACAGCAAGGTTTGAAGCTAGTTTCTAGGCAGTTCAGAAAGTAACGTTAGGCACTCACGGCCGTTTTTGAATGTTTGTGACGGCCGGAAAGGGCGCGTTTTTGAAGGTTTGACGGCTGGAAGAGAGCTTGTTTTCTTGTAGGTTCAGAAAGCAACGTTAGGCAGTGGGAGCGGTTGCCCGGAGGCTCGGTCCGTCCTTCAGGTCCCTGCTGTTTGGGCGTGGCGGAGGCGCCGTTTGTGAGCCTTGACGGCTGGAAGAGAGCTAGTTTGGGAGCCGTTGCCCGGAGGCTCGGTCCGTCCCCGTCCTTCAGGGCCCTGCTGTTTTGCTGTGGCGAGGGCGCCGTTTGTGAGCCTTGACGGCTGGAAGAGAGCTAGTTTTCTTGTAGGTTCAGAAAGCAACGTTAGGCAGTGGGAGCCGTTGCCCGGAGGCTCGGTCCGTCCTTCAGGGCCCTGCTGTTTGGGCGTGGCGGAGGCGCCGTTTGTGAGCCTTGACGGCTGGAAGAGAGCTAGTTTGGGAGCCGTTGCCCGGAGGCTCGGTCCGTCCTTCAGGGCCCTGCTGTTTTGCTGTGGCGAGGGCGCCGTTTGTGAGCCTTGACGGCTGGAAGAGAGCTAGTTTTCTTGTAGGTTCAGAAAGCAACGTTAGGCAGTGGGAGCCGTTGCCCGGAGGCTCGGTCCGTCCTTCAGGGCCCTGCTGTTTGGGCGTGGCGGAGGCGCCGTTTGTGAGCCTTGACGGCTGGAAGAGAGCTAGTGTGGGAGCCGTTGCCCGGAGGCTCGGTCCGTCCTTCAGGGCCCTGCTGTTTTGCTGTGGCGAGGGCGCCGTT